ATTAATATTACAGAAATGATTAAAAATCTTATACACATTTATGGTATAGCCTATAAACATATATAAATTGAATTTTCCAGTAATAGTTTTTAAGATATTTATGGTTTCAACAATGAATCATTACTGAACATATTCTTGGTCATTCTTTTATAAACTTTAGTTAGACTTTATTCAAATGGAAAAACAATATTTGTCCATTTAACTTATATTAAAGATAATTCAGAATTTTAATTAATAAAAATTAGCATTTTATTAGATAAAATAGAATAATTCAAATAAAAATTAATTTTTAATCAATTATTTTAGAAAATACAAGTTAGATTGAGTCCAAAGGTTGATATCTTAACATCTGAAAATTGTAAACAATAATTTTATATATTCAAGCTTGCCAATTCTTAATTTATAAGAATCTCTAATAATTAAATGAAATAAGAATCTTAGAAGAAGAAATAGAATGATTTAACTAATTAATATATATATTATGTATCTTAATAATATTAAAGAAATTATAAACAAATCATTTAATTTTAACTAAAAAGGACACTTTATCTAATCTTGTAACAGATCTTCTACTACAACCTATTTTTCTTTAACTCATAACTTATCCTTAATCTTCATCATTTGATTTTCTTAATGATTACATCTTTACAACACTAGAAGATCTTCCTATACGAAGATTAACTCCATTTATATTTAATTTAAATATCTTTGATTGTTCTTTAAACCAATTATGAGATTAAATATCATAAATATTGGCTCTATCTTTTGGATTAAACACGAATATTAAACTCAATAGATGTATTATATCTTTAGAAACACATTTTTTTGGAATCTAGTAATTACATTATAGAATATTTCGATATGTTTCTGATGTACTGTTACCATCAAAGGGAAGTTTCCCAAAGACTAAACCATATATTATACATCCAATAGCCCAAACATCTTATCCAGGTTAAATGTATTTAATTGAATTAGATAATACTTCTGGAGCCAAATAGGATAGAGTACCTAAAACATTTTCTTTAACTAAAGGTTGTCCAGCATAATTAGAAACTCCGAAATCAATTATTTTTATCTAATTATTTAATTATAATTTATTACTTTTTTATTAGAAAGAGACGAAAGCATAATATTTTCCAATTTTAAATCACAATGAATAATATTTTTTTGATGACAATATGAAATAGCATCTACTAGTTGATGAGAAAAGTTTTTTGCTTCTATTTCAGTTAATTTAGCTAGAATTAAAAAATAGCTATACAATTAGCTTATGTTAATAATGATCCACCATATAAATACTCCAAAATCATAATAACTTCCTTCTATTTTGAACAGACAAATTTCTCATATAATTTTACTATATTTTGATGATCTAATTATTTTAAGATTAAAGATTCTTATTCTAGTGTCTCCAAGACTTAATCTTATTAAGTTGATGCATTTATCTTCTTAATGGCTACTAATTATTTTGTTCCTTTGTGCTTTCCCAAAAATACAACTCCTTATCCACCTTCCCCCACTCTTTTGATGATATCATAATCTAACTTTAGATGAATTAATTCATTTTCATAATTTTTCAATTGAGTATACACAATAGTACCTTATTTAATATTAATTAAATCTTGTTCTTGAATTTAGGTTCCATCAATTAAAAAAAGTCTTAATTATTATACATTTTGTCTCCAAACAATCTGAATTAATTTAATAATATCAATAAACTTTGTGTTAGGATAGAGCATCAAACGTATTGGATTTTAATTTGTTGACTTCAAAATGCAAGATCTAACATAGTTTTCCAATGTAAATTTGGTTGTATTCATTTTTAATTTATAATAAATATCTTTTATTTTTAAGAGTTTTTTTTTAAATAATATTTCTAAACTATCCTGATACTCTAATATATATATTCGAAAAAATACGTAAATCCAAAAGTTCATATATATTTTTTTAGAGATACCTAAAGATATTATTTTATAAAAATGAAGAGATCTTAAATAATTATATAGCAATCAATAATTTAATTATGATATTTTATAAATTTATAATAAATGGAAAATATGATTGATATAATATATTTATATAAATAATAAATGATATTTAAGATTGTTTAATAATTTTGATAATAGAAAGTATAATATCATTTTATGAATACTTTCAACTGAAACTCTCAAATTTATCAAATGATTTGAGAATAGAAACATCTTTGTACAATTCTATAAAGACTCCCCCTTCTGTAACTTTTACTTCTAATTATGGAGAATGAAATTTTAAAAAATTCTTAATTACTAAGTTTTTGTTTAAGTGTTCAGCTAACAAATAAGTATTTATGCATATAATTCGAATAAATAATAATTCAGATTTTGAATGTAATAAGATTTTAGTTTATGTTTTGAAATCATTATTAGTTTTTCTTAGTGTAACTTGCATTAATTAAACAATGAAATCCTAGGCCATATCTTTATAATGAACAACATCATATTGGGTTTCTGAACAATCGAAATAGAAATTATAGTCTTTATAAGCTATTTTGAATAATGAAATAATTGAAAGAAATAATTATTTAAAATTTGCATTAACAGTTTCAGATGTAAATTAAATTTATGAAAAAGAATTAGATATTTTATATTTACTTTAAAAATACATATGATGTAATTTAAGTTAATGTATTAGTTATATTTTATTGGATTAGCTTAAAATACAATGATTAATTATTTATCCTTATTTTTTAAGGAAATTTTAAACCAATTATTAATGTTTTCCAATTAAATTAATTAAATTATCTTTAGTAGATTACAAAGTTTAAGCTCTATGTTTAGATTATTCAAGTACAATTAAAAAATTATCTTCTAAATGATATAATTCAGCCAATAATATTGATTTTTCTTCAAAATCTGTTGAATCATAATCATTAGGTTTAAGAGTAAATTAATTTAGATCAAAAAATTTAGTTTATTTTTCAATTCTATTTAATATAAATTATTCAGTTGTAATATTACCTATTAATGACATTCTTAAAAATTATCTAAAATTCTCTTCTGCTTATAATTCAAATGAAGAATATGGAAAATGATCAATTTAATTTGAATTCTTATATCTAAAACACATTCTTTCTTCATCATATGTAAATAAAATAAAAGGATCACTAATAATTGATGGTAAGAGACAATCTATTTAATTATAATTATAAAATACGCCAATCATTTCCTTAATTATTACTTAGAAAGAGTAATCTTTTCTATTTCTCAATTGTATGTACTACTGAAATAAAACATATAGGACAACAAATAGAAAGTATGATAGAAGTAATATCAATATTACCATCAAGTAATGCAGCAATAAATAATTTTAAGGCTGTTTAAAAGAATATATTAAGTAGTGTTAATTTATAATCAATTATCAATAATATACTTGAATGAGCAATAGCAACATTAGTTCCAAGTATAAATTAATTAGTTTAATCTGATTAATCTTACAATTATATTAAGATAAGTAAATTATTGATGAATATCATACAAAATATTGTACCTGATTAATAAAATCTCATTATTAGAATTGACATCACAAATATAATTAAAAGAGAAATTGAAGCTACTAAGATGCCAATTACATTATTCTATTACCCAAATGTTATTAAACGCATCAATATCATTATTAAAGTAATAAATGTTACTTTTTTGAAACCATTATAGCAATAATCTTATTTACCTTTTTGATAGAGACTTTCTAAATGTTTTTATCTAAATGTATGTGTAAATTTATTCATTTTATTAATAATGCAAGAAATTTCAAAATAATCTTAAACAAAAACAGATCATCATCTTAAACATTTATCATAGTTATTTTAGAATCATTAAGGAATTAAGAAATTAAATTTATTAGGAGGAATATTTTGTTCAATTGAATATTATGAAAAAATTCATTATGTAGAATTTGAAGAAGGAGATGATATAATAAAGACTGGAGAGATTGGACATTTATTTTATTTACTTATAGAAGGAGAAATTAGCATTAAAAAAACTTATTTTGGAACAGAAGCATTACTAAATTTACCTTATCTTTAGACTATAAAAAGTGTTACTAAAACAAAATTTGGAACTATAAGTAAATATGATTTTGAAAATATCAAAAGAAAAGCTAAATTAAAAGATCCAAATGAATAAATTGAATTCTTTAGATAATCTTAATTATTTGGACAATTATCTAAAGGAATGATTGAAAAATTACTTAAAAACTGTTAAATAGAAATATTTGATAAAAATTAATTAGTCTATTATGAAGGAGAACCATCATAAACAATTTATTTAGTTAGAGATGGAATATTTTAATTATAAAAGAAAATGGTTGTTGGAAATAGATGGAAAAATATAACTATAAGTGAAATAGGAATCTATCAATTATTTGGTGATTTAGAATGTTTATTAAATAAATAAAGATATTTCACAGTTAAATGTTTAAAATAAGGTAGTTGTTACAAAATTAGCAATGAGGATTTCTATTAAAAAGTTATATCTGATTAACCAAGTTCAGAAGCACAAAGATATATAAATCAATATATTAAGGCATAATTACTTAATAGAACTGAGAGAATAGAAAAAGTTACTGAAACTTTAGCTTAAAATAGTGAATATTTAATTGGGTTGCCTGAAATTAAGACTTCTAGTAATAAAGAATTAAGTTAAATTGAAATGAGAGTTCTCGATAAAACTCACTCAAGATATGCTTAAATATATAATTAAGCTTGTTAAAAGAGAGTAAAAGTTAGATATGCTACTATACACAAAACTGAGGTAGCTGTTCCTAGAGTCACTTCTAAAAATGAGTCAATTCATAAGACTATTGTTGTTTCAATTGAGAAACCAGTAAAATAATATATCTATGATGAAATTAAAATGCCAGATATTGTTTAAAGAAGATATCGTGATTTCTTACCTAAAAGAAAGAAAGACTTTTGGATTATTACTTAAAATAATAAATCTTCAATACTTTGAAATAATATATAATCATTTTAGTTTAATTTCTTCTTGTAAACATTACTATAAAAATTCTTTATATTTTTTTGCTTCCTAACTTAGAGTGTCTCTCATCTAATCACTAAATGCATTTCCTAATCCTAATGTATTATGAAATTAACGAATAAAACTAAATTTCTAAATATTATATACTCATTAGGATAATTTTCTAGTAAACCATAGAGATCATCATTCTTTTTTATATCTCCTTCTTTACGAGGAATTATATGAATAAAACAATGATTCAATCCATCTGATTCATTTGAAAATGATGAAATATTTACTGTAGATGATGTACAATCAAAGTATTTTTCAAGATTTTTTGTTAAAAATTTCACACTTAAACCTAAATCAAATATTTCAGCAGGATCTAAATCTTATAATCTAAGTGCTTATCTTTTAGGTATTAATAACACATCTATAATTAATAAGATAATAATCTTACGTCCAGGTAATAATTTGACCACAGGAATGATGCAATAACAATACTATTTATTCCAAAATACTAAATTACCTGGAATGATAACCTATCCAAATTTAAAATAATCCATTTTATATTAAATATTTATTAAATATCATTAAGACTTGCTGAGTTCTTGCAAGTATTGATACTCCTCTTTAAGTGTTTCTTACCTAAATAGGAATCTGCTTTAGGGTACATTGTTTCTTTCAGGATTGTCTAAATATTATATGGCCATTTATTACTTATAGTTTTATACATCTTTTCATATTGAACTCCAACATAAAATTCTTTGATTATAGATTCGAAACTAGAACATCTAACTGAATTACGTGCTAATTCAGACATGTCTACATTCGATAAATCAAATATTTATTGAGCAATTGCATATTCCTCTAAAAGAGGTTAATCTGTCATATGTAACATAAGTGGATCATCAGTGGATAAACATACATTGAGTCCTTATCTAAAATAACTGTTAAAAGGTGAATCTGCATATTTACATGTGAGTTTGTTATTGGCAATTGGAGACATAGATATACCAATTTGTTTTAGATAATACAAATATTTAAGTACAGGTGATTATTCTAAGATAAGTCCATGATTAATTCCTTTTGCCAATAAATATGCACAAGCTAAATGATCTATATTTCCATTGAGACCACAATGCGGTCTTAGATCAAATGTATTTAAACCTCTTTGTTGTCTCAATTAATTTAAACTTGATAAATTTGCATAAATATAATATATCCAATAAGCATAATGTGGATTAGAGTCTTTAGTCCAATTAATAGGTTATATTTTAAGATGTTGAAGAAAGAAATTTTCATGTTAATTCTCATCATCAACACAATCCAATGCTGATATACTGAATAATGCTTGATATAAATCTGGATCAACTTCAGGATTGATTGTAACTTCAAATAAAGGTCTAAATATATTGTCAATCATATCTTAAAATGAATTAAGTTCTCCATTCTTTCTATATACAGAATAAAGTCTAGGCAATTATATTATCCATCTAATATTTGGATGCTATAATTTATTCTTAATTAACCATTGAGCCTTCTTTCTCCATTCACTACTTGATTTTCCATATATAGTGATTCTCCATTCTGCATATGTATGTCTATCCATATTTTTAATCATATCTTAAGTTATTTCAGCAATATATTTTCCTTTGATATAATTATCAGTCTTCAAAAATATACTCCTTAATAGTGGTTATCCAAGAGGACTGTATTTATTAGTAAATCTATCAAATCTCTTATAAAGAGATTTATCTGCTTAAACATCTAAGAGATCTATATTTAATTCTTCAGTTTTAAATTTAAATCGCTTTTAGATATCTTTCAATGTCATTTCTTTACCATCATCTAAATATACAACTTCTTCAGGACATTATCTGAATTTCTTTTTCATAAATTCGAGTAATTATTTGCCATTCATACTTTAACTATGATGTATATGTGTGTCTATTTTTAGAACACTATAAAAATCTCTATTCTTTATACGCTTTTGATCTTCACTTTCTCTGTCACTATTAAATAAACAATGCATTTTAAATTTCGATTCCAAATATTTATTACGTGAATAACACCAACTAGAAATCATTTTATCATTAGCTATTTCAACAAAAGTAAGAAGATCTTTAATAAATTCTTTAATAGAATGCATTTTAGTAAGCCAAAATCCATCTTATTATACTGCATATACACCATCAGAAACATGTATTTCTACTTTTTCCATTTTAGGTAATGGTTCAATATGACATCTATAATCAACAATAGGTTCTTAAGTATCAGCTGAATAAGTGGTTACTTCTTCTAATCCATTCCAATCACTTTAAAGATCTGGATTGTAATCTTATCGTTTTTTAAGTAAAGAAACAATCTTCTTTGCAGATGCTCTTGCTTCATTTTCACTTTGTTCATGAATTGCACACTTTTCACATTTTTTAATCTATTTTTAAAACATTCATAAATACTTCAATATAATCATACTCTCGAATACTTAAGATATTGAAGTCAGATTATTCAAAAAATATAGTGTCTCTTTTAAGAGTCTTTTTAGGACTTTAGAATGGTTTAGAAGATTAGGCAGATTTAACAGATTCAGTTGGACTGTCTAATTAACTTAGTTTACGTCCAACTAAATTCTTCATATATTTATGTTTATCTTCAACTTCAGAAAGCTCTTCTTCTTATATGATCTCAGTGATCATTTAAGAGATACCTTACATTCTTTACATTTATTTCACTAAATGGTTTAATAGAGGTATTACTTTATTTATAGACTAATGATTCTGGTTCTTCAAGATCACTATCACTATCTAGTCTTCTAAATTATTTTGACATAATTTTATATACTTTATTATGAAAAATAAAATTAATAATTAAAATATATATATCTAATGTCAAGAGTAAAATAATCTGCATGTAATATTGTAAGTATTATAGGGTTTTAGATGTATAACCATCTCCAAGTTCAGGAAGAATATAAAAGATTTCTGAGAAATTATCAACCATCTAGATTGGAGTGGAGAATGAGCGATTCTAAAAATTAGAATAGGCTGAATAAAGAATTCAATAAGCAGAAGATGCATTCAATGAGTTTTAAGAGTAAATCTTTACAAAACTAAATGGATTAAGAGATTAAGTATCTACATTATTTTAAATATTCGTTAACAGTTAGGCAAATTATAAAAGTAAGTGGAAGATGATAGATTGGCAAAGGAATAAGCTAATGAAGCCAAGAATAGAGATGTCTAAGCATTAACAAAGAAGTTTGAGAATGCCATTGAGAATGAATAGTAAACTAAGAAGGAAGGAGAAGCTAAAGTTCTTAGATTGACTGAAGATAAAACAGCACTTTTAAGAACTGAAGTATAAAAGGAGATAGCTCAAAGAGTAGATGCCATTGAGGGCATTCATTAAGGTCTATAAAATGATTTGCCTAAGATTTAAGAGGCCATTAGAGAAGAAGCTAATGAGAGAGATGAAGCAGATTAAAATGTAAGTTATTATAATTATTATTTAATAGGTAATGAAATCAATTACAGATGAATTGGTTAAGTTAAGTAATTTGATTAATGTAGAGAAAAGAAATAGAGATGAAAGTGAATAATCAATATTTGAAATGTTAAAAGATATTGTTAATAGAGTGAAAGTTGAATTAGATTAAGAGAAGAGAACAAGAGAATAATCTGAAGAACATTTATTAAGTTTATTGGAAGATACATGTAATAAACTAAGTATTGCAGCAAATTTATGAAATATATATTATGAATTATCATTAGTCAAGTTCCATCTTCATTTCACTAGGAATTTAATACAAAGTATTGAATTATACAATTTAAGATTCTTCATATTTCTATTCCTCTATTAAAGTAGAATCACCAATTAAATCATATCTTAAAATCAAATCGACCGCCAATTCATGAGGTTCACAATATTGTAATGAAATTGATACAAGTTGTTTTGTAGATTCATACAAATTAATAAATTCGTAATCTTGTTAATGATAACGATGACCAAAAGTTTGATGTGTTTATGGTCTTTCTTCATTAATCTTTGTTAATGTATGTTAATCCATATTCTTGTAATTAGAATGTAATTTCACGTTTGAGTCTAGTTTGGCTCCACTCAAAGATGAATTAAATTATTGGTTCTAAAATCTAGATGTACCAAAAACTTATCTCATTAATCAAAATAAAATAAAATCATTTCTTCGATTAGTATTATTGTTTTTAATTTGTAAACTTCTTCAACTCTTATTATTATTAACCTAGATCTTATAGTTTTCTAGGAGCAAATTCTGGTGTTGTTTATTACTATTTAAATAGTAAATGTTCAGTTATTTGTTTAGCTGTAAATCTTTATTTTGGATTCCATTTTAGCATTCCTTATATCAAATCTAAAGCCATTGGGGATGCTTTGATTACATGTAATAATTTCTATGGATAATGTGTCAATTTCAATCCCAATTGATTTACTAATTTAACTCCTTCACTCCAATCTTAATTATTAAAAGTTCTAAATTATTTTAACTTATCTTATTACCCTAATATTTATAACATTCGATCAAATTATTCTAACTCAGAGGCACCTACAAATAATGGTCTTCCCAAAAACAATTCACATGTAACACATCCCAATGCAAATATATCGATTTATGCATCATAACTAGTAGAATGCAACAGAATTTCAGGAGCCTTTTAATCTCTTTAATTATTACTCTGTACCAACGAGTTGATACATAATCTGTAAATGGTGGCTTGACTTCCCTAGAAAGGCCGAAGTCTATCAATTTTACACAATCATTCTAAATCAAAATGTTCTCTGGTTTTAAATCCCTTACTTTTTACTATATTCCATTATACCTATGAAAATATCCTAAATGATGAATATGAAGCAAAGCATTTGCACATTACAATATAATATGCTTTATCCTTTCTTCATCCAATTTATCCTATGTATATAGCTAGTACACATTGTTCTCCACATATTCATAGATCAAGTACAGGCGCTTATTCTCGTATCGCACTAACACATGCACTTATGCATACTGTCGAGCAATTTTATAATGTTTGGATGCTCCTTCAATTTCATCAATGCTTTAACTTCTCTTAATTGCAAACACTCTTCCATAGATTCAAAGGTCTCTCTCAACATCTTTATAGCCACTCGTTTTCCACTCTCTACATTCACACCACTATGTACTATTCCATAAGATCCATTCCCCAAACACTCTTGCAATTGGTACTCTTATAATATATTCATAATAAATTTTAATTCAATTATGTTTTATCCCTCCCATAAACGTTCTTGCATTAGGTACCATTCCATTTACTTAAGCCCCTGAAAAATCAAATCCTGGATGTTCTTCCTAAAATCTCTCTAAAAGCATTTTCTTTTATAATTCCTATTCTGTCAATGGATCTACCTTTCCATGTCCAACAAACACACTTGGCCATAATTCTCCTTTATATGCCTTCTACAATATTATGTGAAGTTCTTCATCTTCTATTAACCAGTATGATTCACTAGAATCACATTATTTTACTAATGGTTCATCAATAAATGGAGGATTTCCCTTTATTCCAATTTTTAAACTCTCAGCCTTTATTTAAATGTCTAATTTTGGCATTTGCTCTCCTGGTTTCAATTATTATCTCACTTAATCTTCATACTTTTTTAAAACAGCCTTTGGAGGCTCAATGTATATATTAATATCATCTAAAGTTTAATCCCATTCATAAATTGTTCTTCCTTAATGTTGAAATTTTTATCTTCCCTTTGCTTTTTCTTAAAAATCTTTAGAAGGTTCTAGCATTAATTTGAAAAAAATAAAAATAATGATTATTTGAATACATTTAGAAGTATTTTTGATAATCTAATCACATTATTCAAAAAATAATAATAGATTATAGAATTGGAATATATTTCTATGTGAAATTTGATAATGAAAGTATATGATTGATTATGTTTTAAAAAAGGGATTCCTGGTTATTAATCTAATTTAAATCAATAATTATATGGTTTTAAAAAGAAATAATGATAAAATTTTTTGGGATTGTGATTTACATCTTCTTCATATTATCAGTTGTTGGACCAATCTATTCATTTTTGACACTTTAGCCTAAGAGAGCATAAGAGTTTTGGTCTCGATTAGCTGTCAAGACATTACGACTGTAATTTAGATATTTACCAAACTCTTAATAAGTGCAAACAAATAAGAGAGTAATCTTTTGTTATTGAATTATAGACAATGTTACTTTTCAATCATAGAACATAAGGAGATTTCTTTATTCATGACGTGGTTTCTTAATATAGTGCAAATTTTTTAGCAAGATGGATGGTAGCAGTTGCATTTCCAATGTTATTTATATTCTAATAATTGTTTACACAATCAGTTTGGTTTTTTAGAAGAGGAGGAAACGATCTAAATAAGTAATATATATAATATTATTAAAAAGCTTCTTTAAATGGATTGATAACAAATTTGATAAAGCCACAAGGCCAAATTTATTAGTCTATCCAGAAGGTCATAGAATGCATGAAAGTGATAAGGTTGGAAAGATGAAGACAGGAATGCTTTAATATGCATATGATCGTAAAATAGATACATAAATAATAATTGTTTTGGGTATAGAGAAAGCTTTTAATGAAAAAAAATTCCATGCAAGTTTAGGGTATTTATGAATAATTAATTTTAATATAGACCAACCTAGATTGCAATAAAAGTGGATGAAATAATCAAGCCAGATAAATTTGCTACTTTTGAATTGTTTATTGAACACATTTAAGCAATGTTTAAGAAGAATTTTGAAGAGACTTATGATTATTAATATAAGAAATCATGAGTATTTAATTTGTTAATAAATATATTTTGCTGAATTGCATATATTTTATTTTCCACTTACTCAAAATATATTTAATATTTATTTCTTATAATATCTATAATTATATATCTTAAAGAATATGCTATTTATCTTAATCAATAAGTATATATAAATACAGATTCTTTTTAGTTAGTATCTAATTTTTAATAATATAAAAATAATTTATGAAAAGAAAAACTCTGTTACTTGAAGCTGATATTATATAATAAATAAAAAGTGCCTTCAACCTTAATCAACTTGAAATCACAGAATTGATGACTTAAGCTAAACGATACGATCCTAAAGGAACTGGTTTTATTAGCAAAAATGAAGTTGATGATATTATGAGAGGTTATTAATTATAATATTATGGGTTAGAATTGAGGTTGTTAACAAATGAAAAGATGATTGCCAAATTCAAAGAAGAATTAAAAACTTATGAGGGCAAATAACTTGAACTTAAACAAATATGTGATCTTTATTGTAAATTGAAGAATTATTAATAATAATTAGAGGATGAGGAAACTATAACTCAGGAATATAGTATTTAAAATTTCATTATTTTTAGTTGATGCATTTGTTGCCTTAGGAGGATAGCCTGATAGATCAGGTTATGTATAAAAATAAACTATAATTGATATCATTTAAAAGGAATTCGAATTGAAAATAGATTTAGAATCTTTTCTTGGAGATTTCTAAGGTGATAAGTTAGAATTTGATGATTTCTGTTAATTATTTGAGAATGCTGGAGAAGATGCCAAATCTTTTATTACTGTATAATTAATTTTATAATAATCTTATTAGAGTTTCTCATAAGCTAAAAGAAATAATACTGATTTCACAGTGAGATTTAAAGATTTTGAAAAATGGGAGAAAACAGCTATGTGATGATAATTTAATTTAATTTATATCATAATCTGATAGCCAACTATTTATTTTTTACTATAATACATCATATCAAATTTATTTTATCTTATAATCAAAATTATTCTTCAATAAATTTGTTATGAATTTCTAAAAATTTATTTAATTATTTTTCGATTCAGGATTTTTTAATTCATTTTAAAAAATTTATTTTGGAATTATATTAAATATTGACTTTCTATATATTGACTATGAGTTTATTTAATTCATCCTAACAATTTATTTTGGTAATCCTATTAATTAATCAATTTTATAAAATAAATAAGTTTTATTAGGTTTATATTCTCATAGATTGATATATACCTTATACATAACAATTTAAAAGTATATTAAAAGTATATCAAATAGATTTTTCATATGAATTAAAGAGATGGGTATAATTTATTCTCAGATTAATATTTCTAGTTTATTCAATTAACTATAAGTAATTTTTGAAATTAAATCATTGTAGCTATTATTTCAATATATAATTTTAACATTTATAATTTTTCATTTTTATTTTAGTAACTCTTTTTTATATATCATATATACAATTCTAAAATATTTGAAGAATTAATTATAGTAAATGAGTATTTGTAAATGAAGACTATTAAAAACATTTAGATATTGAAAATATATATATAAAACCAAAGAATATTTTTTTCAAAACTTTATTGAATTTTCTATTCAGTAAATAAGAATACCATCAAATTTAACATAGAAATGAATATTATACAATTCACATATAATCAATTGAGTTTATATAGTATAGATAAATTATTCATATACTTTATTCTATTTTAATACTTTATAAATAATTTATAATTTTATGGAATTACAATCAGCTGAATGATTAGTCAGCTAAATATTAAATGAATATTAATGTAAACGAATTTAGGCTGAAATATTTATTTAATTTAATTTTCATTTATATGATATAGAAAGGATAATAATGACTCAAAGCTTAATTATTTACAAAGTGCAATTTATTTCTTTTATTTTTAATAGTTGTCAAAGGAAAAATAATTTAAAAGATTAAATAATTAGACTTAAAATAGCAAGATAATATGAATGTCTAATGATTGATAAAATGTAATTTTTCATTTATTTATTTGATTTCAATCAATTATATACACAATTTTTTGAATAAAAATAACAACCATTTCAAAAAATGAATAGAAAGATTATCAAAAATAGATATAAATAATCTATAAAGCTGAATAGACTTAAAAATAGATACTCAGATTTTTTAATTAATTTATTTAAAATATGGTAATATTTGATATAAAAATTAAGAACTCAAAAATTTTATTTAAAAGAAAATCAAATTTTACTCTTTTATTAAAAATTAAGTTAATTAGTTTATATATATNACTATTTATTTTTTACTATAATACATCATATCAAATTTATTTTATCTTATAATCAAAATTATTCTTCAATAAATTTGTTATGAATTTCTAAAAATTTATTTAATTATTTTTCGATTCAGGATTTTTTAATTCATTTTAAAAAATTTATTTTGGAATTATATTAAATATTGACTTTCTATATATTGACTATGAGTTTATTTAATTCATCCTAACAATTTATTTTGGTAATCCTATTAATTAATCAATTTTATAAAATAAATAAGTTTTATTAGGTTTATATTCTCATAGATTGATATATACCTTATACATAACAATTTAAAAGTATATTAAAAGTATATCAAATAGATTTTTCATATGAATTAAAGAGATGGGTATAATTTATTCTCAGATTAATATTTCTAGTTTATTCAATTAACTATAAGTAATTTTTGAAATTAAATCATTGTAGCTATTATTTCAATATATAATTTTAACATTTATAATTTTTCATTTTTATTTTAGTAACTCTTTTTTATATATCATATATACAATTCTAAAATATTTGAAGAATTAATTATAGTAAATGAGTATTTGTAAATGAAGACTATTAAAAACATTTAGATATTGAAAATATATATATAAAACCAAAGAATATTTTTTTCAAAACTTTATTGAATTTTCTATTCAGTAAATAAGAATACCATCAAATTTAACATAGAAATGAATATTATACAATTCACATATAATCAATTGAGTTTATATAGTATAGATAAATTATTCATATACTTTATTCTATTTTAATACTTTATAAATAATTTATAATTTTATGGAATTACAATCAGCTGAATGATTAGTCAGCTAAATATTAAATGAATATTAATGTAAACGAATTTAGGCTGAAATATTTATTTAATTTAATTTTCATTTATATGATATAGAAAGGATAATAATGACTCAAAGCTTAATTATTTACAAAGTGCAATTTATTTCTTTTATTTTTAATAGTTGTCAAAGGAAAAATAATTTAAAAGATTAAATAATTAGACTTAAAATAGCAAGATAATATGAATGTCTAATGATTGATAAAATGTAATTTTTCATTTATTTATTTGATTTCAATCAATTATATACACAATTTTTTGAATAAAAATAACAACCATTTCAAAAAATGAATAGAAAGATTATCAAAAATAGATATATCAATTCATTTTTAATATATTACTATTTAATTCATTCAGAATGTAATAAATTAAAATATATTATAATAATAGAATGAAATATGTATAGGCTGATTTAATGTAAATAAAAGCAAAACAATATTTTATGTGATAAAATAACATAATTGAATTCATTAATTCGCCCGAATAGCTCAGTTGGTAGAGCGAGAGACTTTTAATCTCTAGGTCCAGGGATCGAAACCCTGTTCGGGCAATACTTTTGTTTTTTTGATTACATACATTTTTTATTAATATTTAATTTTTTAAGTATATTATAAATGTTGTAAATAACAAATTATGTATGTGCAATTAATAAATTAACTTTAATGAATTAAGTAATTCGCCCGGATAGCTCAGCTTGGTAGAGCGAGAGACTCTTAATCTCTAGGTCCAGGGATCGAGACCCTGTTCGGGCGAAATTTTTTTTTTTTATTTTTATTTTAAGGAAAACTATTTTATAATAATCTTTTAGAAGAAAATTGAATAAAATAATTTCTAAGATTAAATTATCAAGGGAGTAGTGTAGAAATATAGAGTTCAATTAAAAATTATATTTAAGAAATTGGATATTAGTAAAGTAAATAGGTAAATATTGAGAGAAGACCAAATAAATCAAAATGAAAGAAAATTATATAAATTTTGTAAATGGTTGATTGATAATAAATGATTTAAAATTAAGAAATCAAAGAAATAATTTAGTAAATAGAAATGCATATAGTTTATATTTTTTATTTATTTTCAGAATGAGGAAGTTAAAGTCAAATGGAAACTACAATTAAAATAGGGATACAAAGAAGAAATATATAACAAAAGGACCGATAAGGATAAATAATAAACATTAGGGTTTTCAAAAATTGAGCATTACTAATAATAATGGGGGATGTATAAAAATGATATTTAATGCGTTTGAAGAGATAAAATAATTTGAAAACTAATAATGAACAATAAAGCTAAGGTAATCATCTAATCATAAAATAATAGATGAATGATAAATTCAATAAGACTATCCTCATATTACTTTATAATTAAAAATCAAGTAGGATGAAAATCGATTAATATTAAATTTAATCTTCTATATGCAGCTTAAAATACATATAGAATAAATGATATAACAATAATATCTCTTGTTATAATAATATTTATACCAATAAAAATATTAGTAGAAAATTTATTATTTTATAGATTAATGATGGAAGATTTAAAAAAGAATAAAAAAGAGTTAAAGTATATAAATATAATAAAAGTAAGAATAATAAAAAGGATTGATAGATTGAAAAGAAATTGTAAATTTTTTTGAGTGAATATTTATGAAAATTATTGAGTGAAGGTCAATTAAGCTCAGAATAAAAAACAAAGAATTTTATTAATTAGAGCTTATGATTGGATATAAAAGAGATAGAAATTATTAGAAGAGAAGTAATATAATAATTTATAATAATAAATAGTCCAACTTATATATGATTGATATGAATATGATAAGAGAACGCTTACAGAAAATGAAAATTGAAGTTTTAAAACCAAAAAAGCAATATATGGAAATTTAAAGTGGATATTTATTATTATAATTCATTTTTGAATAAAATGATGAAAATTAATTATTTACTAAGTAAATATATTAATGTCTTATAATATCAATCAAAATCAAATTGGGCTTTCAACAAATATGTTGATGTCAAATGGAACATTGGGCAATCAAGTATTCAATTAATCCAACAATAATAATTTTGCCTATGGTTAAAGTAGTATTAGATAGGAATCCCAAAATCAGCCTTCACAAATAAATAATCCGACTGGTTCATAACTTTTAAAGAATTAGCAATTCCGTATTCATATGTTTAATAATATTTAATAGTTGAGTTTTAATAATCGTAATCACAAGTGAAATAGCAACAATAATCTAGAATATAGCTTGCCTAATCAGACATTAGAGGTGGTAATTTTTTATAGAGCTAGTTTATGAATAGTGCATATGATACTAATATTCTATAATCAAAGCCCTTTTAAGGATCCTAAGAGTAGCATATCTAATAAAGATCAAATATTCCAAATTCGAATTCAAATATAATGATTACAGATAATTGGACAGAAAGTGATTATGCTAAATAATTTGAAGAGTGGAGAGATTTAATTTAATAAAACAAAGACTTCATAAGTCAGTTAGAGAATGATAGATTACAAATTCCATTATCCAACCTTATTGTACAAGAAATATTAAACATCAAAACAAATATCTTAAAGAACTCATTTATATCTAAATTATCTTAATATGAGGATATCATTAAACCATAATCATATGAATTGGCAATTAAGAGTGAAGAATTATAAAAGTCATTAGGGATATTAAAATAGGCTAATAAACCACCTAAAAATAAATATGCCACTCCCTAATTAGAATAGTAATAAGCTCAATCAAATATATAACATTTTAACCAATAATTAAGTCATGTTAAATTAGAATTACAAAATTAAATCAATATGACTAATAGTATACTTTAACAGATAGGTGGTTAAAAAAATTATATTGAACCATAAGAGAATTATTAATAGAAATTAGAAAATGCATACAACTCTTAGCTGCAATATGTAAGAGAGAGAATAACATAATAAATTAATTTATTATTATTTATTCATGAAAGGGAAGTATTCAATTTAGATAGATAAATACATTCATAAATTTAAGAATCAGATACATTAAGCATAACATCTTTATCAGAGAAACTCATGATTATTGAAGGGCAATTGGAAAAGTTTTAAGAAAAGAAATAAGAATTAAAAGATTTTTAAGATAAATTGGTTTAATTAAGAAATAGAAATATTGATGTATTTTCTGAATTTTTTGATGGTATGACATCTTTGTATAAATAATTTAAGATTTATTATGAAGAAATTAAGTAAATTTAATAGATACCAAATTAATCAATATTATAAAATTTATAAATTAAAACAAAGTAATAAATATACATAGAAGCAAAGAAAGTATGGTTAGACATTAAACAATTATATTTTAATGGATAAAAGATTAAAGAGTTTAATGAAATAGAGAAGTTTGAATAATTTAACAAATATAATATTGTCGCATAAGTGCAATATATAAAATCATATATGAATTAATTGTAAATTGATTATATGAGAAAAGGAAATTAAGTGCCTTTAGAAGAATCAAAGAAACTAAAATAATTAATTTATATGGCAGAATGTAATTATCAAGAAACAAATAAACTGAGATAAGAGATAGCTGAATTAGAATAATTAGAATTTATTGGGTATAAGAATTATATAATTTAAAATTTAAAACCTAAATTTTTTGTTGATTTTAAGGAACTTTATGCTAAAGACTTTTATGAAATAATTTATTTCTAATATGCTGATTCCAATATTGTAGAATCTATCAAATAATTACTTTAATTTAAATTCCCTACATTTGATTGGAATGAAAATATCGAAGATGAAAGATAAAGAGTATAAATTGTAATATAGAGATATGATGAAGTATCTGAAAAGTTATAAGGGTTAACAGAATAATATTCAAAAGAGACAAAATTTGTTAAATAATTAAGTAATTGGAAGGCAGAATTGTTTAAATGTATTAACATTTTGAAATAGTATCTTGTCATAAAGGAATAATTAAAAGGTTAATTAATAACTTTATTAAAATGGCCATAAATTACATCTGATATTTAAAAAATAAATGAATTTAGTGTTCATTGTGAATAAATTAGTAGATAAGCAAATTAATACTTCTAAGCAATTGAATAATTACAATAGATGCAACTAATAGAAAATTTAGAATAGTTATTTAAATAATGGAATCCAAAAGTAAAAGAATATATTATTGAATAATGTCATTTCATTAATTAGAGAGAATTCTCTTCAATAATTAATGATTAAATGTAAATTGTGTATTAATTTTTATATGTATGTATGGAATGCTTAAATTATGATATTGATGATATATTTTGTAGAACTACAACATATTAAGAATTTGAGAATATTTTGAGTGGTTCTACAAAATTATAAGAATTAAAGAATATTATTGATGGTAATGTTCATAATTCTGCTTTGAGATATAAATTATTTGAAATTATAGATAAATTCATGAAAGATAAAATAAAATATGACTTTTAAAATTTATTTGAATTAAAATTACAATAAAGTAAATAAGATACAAACAATTTCAATCCAAAAGAATTAGCAAAAAGAACAGACTTAAAGTTTCCTATTAACAGATCTGATATTTAAGATAATTTGTATTGTAAATAGAATATGGATAAGATTAATTAAATAATAGATTAACCAGAACTTAGATTAATATTTTAATAATTCAGAGAATTGTTAAATAATATTATCACTATTATTGATTAAGATAACAATGTAGCAGATATACAAATTAATCAAATAACTATACTAGAATTAGCCAGCACTTTTACAAATCAATTACTCATCCAAAATGAATTAACAAATATTTAACCATTAATCAGATTTCATTAATAATTATGTAAATTTCCAAGTATAAAACAATTTTAAAATCAACTCATTAATTTAGGAATTGTATTCCCTAATGAATATAATAAATATTTAGAAGTTTGCCAAAGAAGAATCTAAAGATTAGCTTAAAGTATTTGCATAGAGTTTGAATCTTTAGATTTTGATGAAATTTCCTAAGCTAAATTATATTTCAATAAAAATGAATACTTATTGAAATAAATAGATTTTCCATATCTTTATATAGATGCAAAGTCTTTGATTTTGGAGTATCAACCATTAATATTTAATTGCAGTTTAAGTGTTAAAATAAATGGTAAATTGTTAAAATAAGGATAAACAATTCAAATATGATGTATTTTTATTATTAAATCATTTTGCAAATACATTCAATAATATAAAAACTATGACAATCGCTACAATTAAAAATGCAAATAATTAAGCATTAGCTGTTGTACCTCCTCCAACTTACCATGATTCTTATGTTGATCCTTTATCAACTATACCAATTTTGTATTTTTCTAGTATTTAGCGTGCTCCTGATGTATGACCTACAATTTTAATATTATTTTTAACCTGTTTCATTAAAATCTCTTGTGGCATCTTTACCAAAGCGATTTTATAAAACTGCAGGACCACCAGGATGTTAATTAAGATACAAAGTAGGGTCATAAACTATTCCATCTATAACAAGCCATCCATTTTTTTGATTTTAGGCAACTTGTTACCATGTATATGTACTCATATAATATATAATAATTAAATATAAAACAGAAGAATTATAACAATTAAAATAATAAAATAGATAAAATATTAATAAAATCAATGAAAGAATCAGAATAAAAATTAATAAATGATATTACAATTAATAACATAGTACATCTTTTGAAAATTCGATATTAAAAATAATTAAATAAAAAATTATGTTATATAATATACTTAAAAAATTAAATATTAATAAAAAATGTATGTAATCAAAAAAACAAAAGTATTGCCCGAACAGGGTTTCGATCCCTGGACCTAGAGATTAAAAGTCTCTCGCTCTACCAACTGAGCTATTCGGGCGAATTAATGAATTCAATTACATTAATTTATCACATAAAATCTTGTTTTGCTTTTATTTACATTAAATCAGCTTATACATATTTCATTCTATTATTATAATATATTTTAATTACTTATATTTCAATATTTAAATTTATTATATTTCCAAAAGATTTATATTGCTTCAAAATATTCCTATTATTATGACTGACTGGACTTTTTGAAAACATCCTTTTGATAAAAGAGAGAATTAATTTGTTTATTAAAAACATATAAAAGAAAAAGAAAACCATTTTTGAAGATTATTTTAATTAAATATAAACTTGTTTAATGAGCTCTACCTTATTAAATTAAAAGTATATAATTAATTTAAGTAAACAAATCAATTTCATATATCATATTGATTAAAGCAATAATGATATTCATTAAATTCAATTTTTAGTAATTTAATCACCTATTTTAATTTTTGATATTTTTTTTATTAAAATTATTAACGATAAATTAAATCTTTTTCTATTTAAGGTATAATAATAAATGTGTTAAATAAATAAAAACATCTTAACTAAGTGAGTTTATTTTTAATATAATAAAATAATTCTTTTATTTTAATTTAAAATAGAAAAATACTATGAATCAATTTTGTATATTTAATTTATGATGCAATAAGAGTAATTCACAGCAGAATAAATCTAGCAATATGATTAACTTGCTGATTGTACATTTCAAATATATATATTTAGAGGCCATTCAGTAATTCTAACAAATTCTACCTCTTACTCCTGAAAATAAATGGGATCTTCATAGTGATAAGAATGGTTTTAAGATCCATCTTAGACCTGATAAAGAAACTGGTCTTAATTTCTCAAGAGGAGAAGGCTTCTTACCTTATACTATTGAATAAATAATGGAAGTTCTTAATTAAGTAGAGAATGCTGAAAAATTTGATGAATTATGTGAATAAGTATTAATTTACAATACAATTATTTTAGGCCTCCCTTATATAAAAAATAAGAGATGATTTACTTGTCTTTTATTAAAGATTGAAGGATATGTTTATTGTGGTTTCAGGAAGAGATTTTGTTATTTTGTAAAAGAGACATAGAGATGGAAATAAATTATGGGTAGTGGGTAAATCAATTGAATTAGCATCAAAACCACCTGTAAAAGGAAAGGTTAGAGGTGAATTAAAACTAGGAGGTTGGTTATTAGAGGAGAAGGAAGGAGTAATTATATATCTAAAATATTAGGGCACATAAGTTATTTATATGACCTGGGGAGATCCAAAAGGTAATTTGCCAGCAAAGGCTGTAAATTTTGCATCTAGTGCTCAGGGTTAAGTTGTAGAAAGATTGAAAAAGTTTATGGATTAAAAACACGGAAAAAAATGATATCTATCATTTATACATGTCATATTAAAATATATGTATAAACAATGTTAATAAGAATAATTTTAAATAAAGAATTTAAGATAAAATTTTCTTCTTATTTTCTTTATACAAATTAATCAATATATATACGTTGATTTAAAAGTATAATGTTTGATTTAATCTATTAATGAAACTGTTTTCTAGATTATTTTATTAATATATTATATTAGTTATAAGATAATGGAAGTAAGTTTGACAATATTTTTGAATAAATAATCTTTAATTTCATTATAAGGGATATGAGATTTAATAATAAAATTTATACACTATTAAATTTATCGTTTTTATAATTAGTTTATATTTATATACTAGATAAGATAATTCATATTTATATAAAAAAGTATAATATTAGTGATAGTTTTCAAATTTTATTGTGAAAGAATGTATAAATTTTAGATTTAATACAAGCACAAAACAAAAAAATTTAATTCAGAATAGTTATTAATTAAAATAGTAGAAGTAATGATAAAGGAAAATGAAGAGATATCTTTTGAAAATGGATAACCTAATCAGGTTGGTCTACTAAAAAAGCCAAAAAAGAAAAATGAATATGATTATCATAGAAAAAAACGAAGATGTGCTGATGGAACAAATAATAAAAAGTCAGGATAAAATTTTTCATTAGAAGATGATAAACGTATTTTATAGTTGGTGCTTAAAAATGGACCTAAATTTTAAAAGATTCATAGACATTTTCATGGAAAAACATTAGCTATGGTGAAAAATAGATATTATAAGTATTTACGCTTTAGATGGGAAATATTAGGATAGTATCATATTATTAATTTTAGAAATTACAAACATTTAAGTGTTACCTAAGAATAATTAAAAACATTATGTGAACAACAAAAAAATGTAAGCAAAATATTGAGTGCAGAAAAAGATGATCTTATCTCTCAAATAACATCACGAACTACATTACTTTAGAATGCTCGAATGTTTGTTGAATTTATAGTTGAATAATTGTTATGACTATTGATTTTACAATTTCTTAATCCTAAATTATTTTAAACACAATATCGTTATTCATATATTGATTTTATAAATTGTTAAGTGTATATTTAACTATTCAAAATGATAGTTGAATAGCTATTACTAAATTTTAATTAAACTACGGACTTCAAGCATTTTTTTATGAAAATAATAAAATGATTTAAAAAGTCTTCTTTTTTAATGAATTACTAATGAATACACAAAACCAAAAAAATCTATCTCAACACAAAAGGTTTCTAAGTTAAATATAAGATTATTATTTGTAATTCCTGGAATTTAATTTAAAAAATAAAATGATACAATAATTAGAGTTTCTGATTTAATATTTGTATGATTGAATTAATTCTTATATATTGTTATTTTAAACATCATGAGAGAATTACATAAGATATATATTCACATTTAGAATTAGAGATTATAATTTAAATATAATAAACAAATTTTAACTATCATTACAAACATTAAGTTAAATATTTGAGTGCAATTTTAATTGAATAAACTTCATTAGGATCCATTCTTGATTATGTTGAAAGTTATTAGAATTCATTAATATTTACAATTTTAGTATTTCCATTATGAAACTATAATTTTATTGTGTCTGAATTTAAAATATGTTATATCTAAAATTTTAAAGATAAATTTACTTTAATTTTTGATTATGCAATATATCCTTCATAACATTAACCTAATTTTGTATTTTTTAATGCAAAATTGCCATGTTCATTATTAAGTTTCTATTTCTAATTTTTTTCTCGGATTGCATTACACACTTATTTTGAATAAGTATAGAATTTCTATAATTTTTATGGTAATTCATTTAATTTATATTATTTTGCCTTTTAACCCTTCTTTTATACAATGATCTAATAAAATTAATATAAAATAAATTACTTCTTATCCATTAGTTTAAATAATAAAATTTAAATCTTTATTACTTACATCCATTTCAAATCTTCCATCTTCATGAATTTATAATAAACCATTTTTTGTTTATAATTTACAAGATTTTAAATCACCTAATTTTATTGGTGATTCATTAAATATGCATAATGTTGAAGAATTCTATTTATTAATTTTAACACTATTCTCTCTAATATTTTCTTTATTAAAATTCTATTGATTAATATTTTCTTTATTATGATGATTACAACTAGTATTATTATTAGAATATTTATCTTATGGTAAAAAGAATTTAGGAACATTATCAAGATGATAATTTTATTTAAGTGAAATCTTTCCATTTGTTGTTTAACCAAATAGTAATTTTTTACCTTCTAATAACTGTTATTTCTATAGAAACTAAGTTACTACTTATTATTTATCTAATCCAATCATAGAACAAGTAGAACGATGTTATTATTTCACAAATGGACTCAAATCTAAAAGTTACTTAATTTAAGAGCTGGATTAATTTCTACTTTAAATTCTTGGAGGAATAGGATCTATAAAAAAAGGATGTTTTATTATTTTATCAATAGAATATCTTTAATCAACATCAAGATTTAATAAATTCATTATTAAATCTTTAAATGTTTCAGTAGAATTAGCAGGTAGATCAAAATCACCTTATTTTACTTTTCTCAAAACATCACCTAAAGCAGCATTTTTCTCTTCAAATGGACCATGTCCTGTTGCCATAGCAAATAAACAACAACCCATACTCCATAAATCAACTTTCTTTCCATAAGGTTATTAATTAATAATTTCTGGACTTATATAATTTGGAGTACCACAAAGTGTATTTCTTTCTTCTTCATCATCTGTTAATTTTACAGCCAATCCAAAATCAGCAATTTTTAGAATATCATTCTAAATTAATAGATTTCCTAATTTAATATCTCTATGAATTATATTATGAGAATGTAAATATTATAAACCTTCTGTTAATTATTTACCATAAAAACGTATTTATTATTCATTAAATTATCCTTTCTTAATTAATTAATAAATGTCTTAATCACATAATTCCATTATAAGATAACTGTTATCAGCATCTTCAAAAACATCAATTAAATTAACAATATTTTTATGATGCAATTCAGAATGAATCATAACTTCATTCTATATTTTGTGTGAGTTTGATGATGTTTTCTAAATAATCTTAGCAGCCATTTCTACTTTACTTAATCGGTTTACAATCTTACACACAAAACTACCAGCCCCTCTACCAATTGGGTTCTTTATTTGGTAATTCTCATCTAATAGTAATATAAACACTTACTGCTAAAGAATCTGATTTCATTATTAACAACTATATTTTTAACAGATTTTATTATTAATTAACTAGAATAATTATAACACTAATTCATATATTTTATAAATACTACATTTAAGATGTAGTAATCATTCTTTATAATCAATTTATCTAACTTAATTAAGATCTCTTTCAAACTGAATTCCTTATTATACTGTATAAATAATAAATACTTCTTAAAAATTATTCACGAATATATTATTTAAAAGTAATTATGTATTTATTACCAATAAGTTTTCAATAATTCATTATGAATATTTTTGATAAGTTATTTAAGGTTGATATCTAATTATTATTATATTTATAACCTTAATGATTTTTATTAAATTTTATAATGTATCTACATAGTTTATAATAAAAGTAATTGATCTTCAAATAATTGTAATTTTTGATTAATATACTTCTAAATTTAAATTCAATATATTTATTGTTGTATATTTAGAATTCATTTATAAATTGAAAGATTTTAAATGTACTTAATAGAAAAATGTATTAAATAAAATTATCAATTTAATTGAATATCTTCTAACTATATTCAAATATAATTATTAGATTTAGATTTCTAATTCTTATGATTTTTTTGTGTTTTTATAAAATAGAAATATATTCGTTAACTAAGTTTTATTATAATATTAATAAGATGAATCATATACCTATTCATTAACGTGCCTAACATTTAATGAAAGAAAAACAATAGAAAATTGCAGAATATAAACGATTGAAAGAGCTGAATGAAGAATAAGAATGCAGTAAATATTCATTTCGACCAAATATTAATAAGGATAGAGAACATCGAACTGTTGATTAATTTTTAGAGGAAGTTGATTATTGGATTGAAAGAAAAAATGAATAACTTCATTTAATGTAATAAGAAAAGTAGTAAGAAGAACTAAAAGGTTTAACATTCAAACCAAAAATTAATAAGAAATCTCAANACCTTCTGTTAATTATTTACCATAAAAACGTATTTATTATTCATTAAATTATCCTTTCTTAATTAATTAATAAATGTCTTAATCACATAATTCCATTATAAGATAACTGTTATCAGCATCTTCAAAAACATCAATTAAATTAACAATATTTTTATGATGCAATTCAGAATGAATCATAACTTCATTCTATATTTTGTGTGAGTTTGATGATGTTTTCTAAATAATCTTAGCAGCCATTTCTACTTTACTTAATCGGTTTACAATCTTACACACAAAACTACCAGCCCCTCTACCAATTGGGTTCTTTATTTGGTAATTCTCATCTAATAGTAATATAAACACTTACTGCTAAAGAATCTGATTTCATTATTAACAACTATATTTTTAACAGATTTTATTATTAATTAACTAGAATAATTATAACACTAATTCATATATTTTATAAATACTACATTTAAGATGTAGTAATCATTCTTTATAATCAATTTATCTAACTTAATTAAGATCTCTTTCAAACTGAATTCCTTATTATACTGTATAAATAATAAATACTTCTTAAAAATTATTCACGAATATATTATTTAAAAGTAATTATGTATTTATTACCAATAAGTTTTCAATAATTCATTATGAATATTTTTGATAAGTTATTTAAGGTTGATATCTAATTATTATTATATTTATAACCTTAATGATTTTTATTAAATTTTATAATGTATCTACATAGTTTATAATAAAAGTAATTGATCTTCAAATAATTGTAATTTTTGATTAATATACTTCTAAATTTAAATTCAATATATTTATTGTTGTATATTTAGAATTCATTTATAAATTGAAAGATTTTAAATGTACTTAATAGAAAAATGTATTAAATAAAATTATCAATTTAATTGAATATCTTCTAACTATATTCAAATATAATTATTAGATTTAGATTTCTAATTCTTATGATTTTTTTGTGTTTTTATAAAATAGAAATATATTCGTTAACTAAGTTTTATTATAATATTAATAAGATGAATCATATACCTATTCATTAACGTGCCTAACATTTAATGAAAGAAAAACAATAGAAAATTGCAGAATATAAACGATTGAAAGAGCTGAATGAAGAATAAGAATGCAGTAAATATTCATTTCGACCAAATATTAATAAGGATAGAGAACATCGAACTGTTGATTAATTTTTAGAGGAAGTTGATTATTGGATTGAAAGAAAAAATGAATAACTTCATTTAATGTAATAAGAAAAGTAGTAAGAAGAACTAAAAGGTTTAACATTCAAACCAAAAATTAATAAGAAATCTCAACGATTAATATCAGATTAGAATTCATCCCTACTTCAGAGATGCTAAAAGACCCAAATTAATAAATAGATGAATGGTTAGCATCATTTGATTGAAGAATTGAAAAAGACTCCCTTTTGCCCTTAATTAAATGCAAATTCAATTAAATTAGCATGTCAAAGCAAAACACCAGAAAGATCAATATCACCCAATTTAAAATAGCAATACACTCCTAGAATAATAGGAAAATCAACATCAAGAACACCATAAAAGATTGAATAAAGAGTTTCAACATAGACAACTACACCTCTCAGATAGAACTAAAAAGTTTCATATCATAAGCCAACAAATTCAATGGCAAGTACAACAGTCAATTCTAACAATAATAGCAAGAAAGCAGTATTGCCATTATAAAATGTGACAAATCATATGAAATTTATAGTAGATTTAGTTAATAAGACTCCTCCTAAAGGATTGTTTTGAAATATACTATATATATATATAGATATATATTATGATATAACTTAATTTCAAAGATTCAATAGTCATAAACCAACTTAAAAACAATTTCTAAATTAAAATACATATTTTCAAATGTATAATCAACTTCATTAAGATGATTAGAATTTAATATTGATATTTCTAGAAAACAGGATATATAAACAAGTTTTCTTTGTTCTAGACATAAATGTTTAGAATGGAAATATTATTATCAATTATAATTTATGAAGAGATAATAGAATATATATACATCTATTATTAGTATTTAATAATAATTCTATTCTAAAATTTAAATAGTTCATCTACTATAAATCTTTTTTTTAGTATACTTTTTGAAATTATTTTATTCCAATTATTAATAATATTTTACTACTAATTTTTGGAATATTTACTTTTGTATTTCAATTTAATGGAAGAGTTATTATTTAATATAAATTAACAGATTTGAGATTATAATAAAAGTTATTGGTTAGCTTATATTAATCGGAATTAATTTTTTTAATATCAAAACTTTTCATAATAAAATATTAATACTGATAATGAGAACTAAGACTATTTAAAAGTTCATTTTATTATTATTTGAAATATTAAAAGTAGTATATTTTATTAGATAAGAATAATGAACACAAAAATTATATTCGGTGGTCTCCTGATGGTTTAAGTTTTGTAATTCCAAAACGTAAATTATTTTCAGAAAATGTAATGGTGAATGCATTCAATACAAATAACATCTAGTCATTTTTAAGATAACTAAGTTTTTATAAATTTAAAATGCAAAAAAATAAACAAAATCAAAAGCAATATTTTCATCCCTATTTCTAAAAAGGAAGAAGGTAAGATTATTTAATTATTGTATGATTTTATAGGGATCTTTTAAACAAAATATAAAGAATTACAAATGATAAATTAAACTAAGACAATCTAGATTAAGTATCAAGTTTGGAGTAAATAAAAATATAAAATTAACAATTATAAGGTTAATTACAGCAATTGAAAATTAATCAGCAATATAAATTGAAACAATTAATAATATAAGCTAAAATTTAAGCAACATTAGCTAGTCGTGTTGAGAGAATTACTTAAGTAATAATTCTATTTTTTAAATGTTTTAGAATATGGCATTTATTTATGGAGAAGATCGTTAATCAGAATTTGCAAAACCAATGAAATTATTTTTCAAAATTATTTAAGGATATAGAGCAGATTAATAAGAAAGAATAATTGCCTTTTTAATTTTTGAGATGGATTTCCCAACTCCTATTTCAGAAAATTACTCTCCAATTTAATTTCCTTATTATTGATATTATTTTTATTTTTAGAAATCCTCATATATTGTGATAAAGTAATGATACTTCAAAAATATCTTTAATTTATTCATTGATAATTTTGCAACTTATCATTTATATGGAAATATCATTGGAGAAAATGAAGGAGTTAAGGGTCCTCCAATATCTTATAATTCTAGAATTATTTTAGAAGCTATTTCAAATTGAAAACCTTTAAATATTTCAAACATTGATGTGAAATACATAACAAGCTTTCTTTCCTATTCTCTTTCTAAATTAAATTTCTTTTATTCTTCACAAATCTTTTTGATGTTTTTACAAATGTAAGTTTATATTATAGAATGAATTCGAATTTATTTTAATATAGAATTTTATTGAATTTATAAGGTTTCTAATTCTTCTTTTAACTATTTCATTTCTTCTCTCATTAAAACAATAGAATAATCCTTGTCTTTATCTAAATAAGCATTACTTCGACTTTTTTATCTCTCTATTTTATAAAGTGAAGATCTTTAAAATACAAGATATTGAATACATATTTCCTTTGATAAACCACTTATGTGAAAACATTTTTTAGTTCATTTCTAAACTTCTCATCTTAAATCCATAAGAATTCAATTATCGGTAGAGAGACTTAATTTATGTTGAATAAAAATATTCTGGCATAATTGAATTCTAAAATTCTTCAGGATTAACAAAAATAAAAGCCCTTNTATTTTATTAGATAAGAATAATGAACACAAAAATTATATTCGGTGGTCTCCTGATGGTTTAAGTTTTGTAATTCCAAAACGTAAATTATTTTCAGAAAATGTAATGGTGAATGCATTCAATACAAATAACATCTAGTCATTTTTAAGATAACTAAGTTTTTATAAATTTAAAATGCAAAAAAATAAACAAAATCAAAAGCAATATTTTCATCCCTATTTCTAAAAAGGAAGAAGGTAAGATTATTTAATTATTGTATGATTTTATAGGGATCTTTTAAACAAAATATAAAGAATTACAAATGATAAATTAAACTAAGACAATCTAGATTAAGTATCAAGTTTGGAGTAAATAAAAATATAAAATTAACAATTATAAGGTTAATTACAGCAATTGAAAATTAATCAGCAATATAAATTGAAACAATTAATAATATAAGCTAAAATTTAAGCAACATTAGCTAGTCGTGTTGAGAGAATTACTTAAGTAATAATTCTATTTTTTAAATGTTTTAGAATATGGCATTTATTTATGGAGAAGATCGTTAATCAGAATTTGCAAAACCAATGAAATTATTTTTCAAAATTATTTAAGGATATAGAGCAGATTAATAAGAAAGAATAATTGCCTTTTTAATTTTTGAGATGGATTTCCCAACTCCTATTTCAGAAAATTACTCTCCAATTTAATTTCCTTATTATTGATATTATTTTTATTTTTAGAAATCCTCATATATTGTGATAAAGTAATGATACTTCAAAAATATCTTTAATTTATTCATTGATAATTTTGCAACTTATCATTTATATGGAAATATCATTGGAGAAAATGAAGGAGTTAAGGGTCCTCCAATATCTTATAATTCTAGAATTATTTTAGAAGCTATTTCAAATTGAAAACCTTTAAATATTTCAAACATTGATGTGAAATACATAACAAGCTTTCTTTCCTATTCTCTTTCTAAATTAAATTTCTTTTATTCTTCACAAATCTTTTTGATGTTTTTACAAATGTAAGTTTATATTATAGAATGAATTCGAATTTATTTTAATATAGAATTTTATTGAATTTATAAGGTTTCTAATTCTTCTTTTAACTATTTCATTTCTTCTCTCATTAAAACAATAGAATAATCCTTGTCTTTATCTAAATAAGCATTACTTCGACTTTTTTATCTCTCTATTTTATAAAGTGAAGATCTTTAAAATACAAGATATTGAATACATATTTCCTTTGATAAACCACTTATGTGAAAACATTTTTTAGTTCATTTCTAAACTTCTCATCTTAAATCCATAAGAATTCAATTATCGGTAGAGAGACTTAATTTATGTTGAATAAAAATATTCTGGCATAATTGAATTCTAAAATTCTTCAGGATTAACAAAAATAAAAGCCCTTCCATCATCTGTCCATTTAACACAATCAAATTTTTCTGACTATTTTTTAACTGTTTTAAAGTTACCTGAACAATTTCATATAAATTTTTTATTAATATTTTAGGTTTTCCCATTTGATATAATTGATAAATGTACTTAAAAAAATTAATGAATATTAGAAATAGTTGAATAAAGATTTTAAGAATATTATTAATTTAATTGAACTTATTTTATAATACATTAAAGATTATATAAAATATAAATTATAAAATATTATAATATTATCATATTGTTAGAATTATTATTGATCATTAAGTAAAGAATTTATTTTTAGTAGTTTTAAATAATATAAATATACTTAATGAAATAAGTCTTGTTTTATAGAATGAAGTAATAATTAATATCTATCAGATTGATTTGATAAGTTATCATAAATTAATTATGAGAAAAGTATGTGTATAAGATATAGCAATATAAAAATAAAAAAGATAACAATTGATATCTATTTTTAATGCAATAATCAAGGATAGACATAGAAATTTAGTGTTTAATAATGCCAATTTAATTGAGTGAATAGAGCATTTGTTTTGTAAGCAAAGGGTCAGGTGCTCAGTTCCACAAATTGGGTATTTATGAAATTAGAGGTGGTGAAGAGGAAGATAGAATTTAAGTTTTATATTCTTATAAAATATATTATTAAATATGGATTATGAGTAAGTGACGAATGATAAAAAGTTGCGAGAGTAACTAGAAGGAGGTGAAACAATAGTACTTACAATGAAGGTTATAAAATTTACAGGTTAAAACAAAAAATTACCTAGAGTTATTGTAAAAGAAAGCATATATTATAGGTAATCACAAACAAGAATGTATATAATATTTCACCTGCAGAAGGAAGTGCCGTTAAAAGTTTTTTTTAAAGTCTAGTAAATAAGTAAGAGAATTGAATTATTTTTGCAGATCAAGAATAAAGAGAAAAATACCATTATCTGCAATTACTTCGATCACAATTTCGAAAATTGTAAAGGAATTCATATTACATATACCTACAGAATATGATTAGCGATATCAAGTAGATGATTAGTATGAAACTGTAAATATTGGTTAGATTGTCATTAATTATACAAACCTTATGTGAAGTATATGTAAAGCATAATCTAAAAAAAATACGATGCCATTTTATTGAAGAAATGAATTTAAGTCCATATACAACAACAAATTATGATATTAAGAAAAACATTCGTAGATAGCTCCCAAAATAAGGAACAGAAATGACAGTGGATGATGTGAAAATTGCTATGTAAGCTTCTAGAGGGAATGTTTAAACAATCTATTAGAAATCAAATACTTAGGAGATTAGTATAGAAGATTTTACATTAATTAAGATGTTGGGTAGAGGAGCATTTGGAAAAGTAATGTTATGTGAGAAGAAAGATACAAAAGAAATATTTGCTATAAAGAGTTTACGTAAGGAAGATATCATTTCAAGAGATCATATTGAATATCTAAAAACAGAGAGAAAAATTTTAGAATAAACTTAACATCCATTTCTTGTGTCTTTAGAATATGCTTTTATTACTTAAGAGTGTGTTTACTTTGTTATGAAATTTATGATGTATGAATATTTAATTATATATTTTTTTAGAGGAGGTGAATTGTATACTCATTTATAAAAAGTGAATAAATTCAATGAAGATTTTGCTTTGTTCTATTCATCCTAAGTACTTTTAGCTTTGGAGTATTTGCATAAATAAGGGATTATATATAGAGATTTGAAACCAGAAAATATTTTAATGGATGAAAAAGGTTATGTGGCTTTAACAGATTATGGATTGGCTAAATTTTTATCAAAAGGATAGGTAGCTTAATCAATAGTTGGAACTCCAGAATATTTGGCACCTGAGGTAATTACTCAATAAGGACATGCCTTTACTGCTGATTGGTGGTGTTTAGGCATACTTATGTATATCAATTGATATATTTAAGATTTGAAATGTTGTGTGGAAGAACTCCATTTTTTTCAGAAAATAGAAATCAAATGTTTAGAAATATTGTAGAATCTGAATTGAAATTTCCATCTACAATTAATTTATCTTTTGATTGCAAGAATCTATTAACAGCATTACTAAAAAAGAAACCTCATGAAAGATTAGGAAACAAAGGTGATGCTGAAGAAATCAAGAAACATCCATGGTTTAAAAAGATGGATTTCTAAAGATTAATTTAAAAAGAAGTATTATTTATATAATAATTTTAGATTTAAGCTCCAATAATACCAGATTTATAATCAGCCACTGATTTATCTAATTTCAACCCATAAATTCTAGATGAAAGTAATCTCTTAATTATTAACCATTAGAAATTGAGGAAAATTAAAATCAAACATCAAATACATAAGCACTTAAAAAGTTTGATTAAGAATTTTATGGACTCAATTATAAAAAAGAGTGATTATTTATTTTTATCAAGATATTTATCATAATTTAGCTTATTATAATTAATTATCATATATTTAAATGATTGTCTTTCCTTTATTTTTCCCTAAAAATACATTCTATAGTCCAATTACGAATTATTCTATGCCTAAAAGTATTTCTTCCTAATGTTTTATTGATCCTTCATTGACCATTTCAACCATCTCAGCAAATCCATCATACATCTTTTATTTTTCATTCAAAAACATTATTCCTTCAAATTTTATTGAATTTCCAATTGCTTATGCTAAATTCTTCAAACCACATCTTTGTTTCCATGAATTATATGTAGAAGTAGCTCCACATAACAATACATATCCATTCTTATTTAATACTGGTATTACTGCATCTAAGATTTCTTCTCCTGCATTATCATAATAAACATCTATTCCTTGAGATGCATGAGATTTTAATAATTTTGTTAATTAACTAATTAATGTTATTAATAATATTTTTTACTTCACATTTATTTCTTCATTTTGCTTACATTAATTATATGTAACACATTCATCAACTCCAAGTTCTTTTAAGAATTCAACCTTCTCCTAACTACTCACTATCCCCACTACTCTATATCCCATTCTCTTTGCTATTTAACAAACAACTGATCCTGTTGAACCAGCTGCTGAAGAAACACAAAGAGTTTTAGGCCTTTCTTAAGTAGGTTGATTCTATTCTGGTATTTATTTCATGGCATTCAGAGCAGTTAAACCTGTCACACCATAACTAATATTTAATTCAAATTCAATTACATAGACAATGTCAAAGGAATTATTGGATCACCTATTTCTACAAAAGATGGCACCTTAAATAGTTTATTTATTTTTCTAACACAATATTAAGCACATTCCATTATTCCAAAGACTAATTGTCCTAAAGAATATTTAGAAAATTTAAATTACCTGGATTCCAATTCTTAGCATTGCTCTCAATACATTGTCCTACTCCAAAGGCTGGCATTACTTAACCAATTTTTACTGAATCTATGTATGTTTTAGCACCAGATAGCCAAACCCTCATGACAGGGTCAATACCAATGAAAAGTACACGAATAAGGATTTCTCCCTTATCTAATTGAGGTGTAGGTTATGATTGTATTTCAAAGAAATTCATATTTTAAGGGAAAGACTCATCAGGTCGTTTTTGGAGCAGCAACACTTTATTATTCATATATTTAATGTTAAAATGTATCATTTGATTAATAATATTATCACATTTATACCCTTACATTATTTATTTAATTATCTCCCTTCATTAAAATTAATAATAATTTATCAAAATTGATCAGAGAATGATTCATTATATCAATTTTGATGAATTCTTTAAGTAAATATACATCTTTTATTATTACAATCATTACTAATTGATTAAATGTCTTTTCTATTATTAATGTTTAATGTATATTAATAATATTTAAATTTCATTGAAATATTAGTTATTTATTTTTTCAGAACAAATATTTTTATCATAAGATTAAAAAAATTAAAATTAAAATATTTTTACATTTGTAATAATTATAAATTTTTATGATTCAATAATTCTTTAATGATCTTCTAAAATAATTTTGTATATGTATACTTATTTCTTTTAATTATCATAATATATATATTCCAATTACTCTGCATTCATATTATTGAAATTATATTTATTCATTTTTACTTTTTATTTTTTAATTAATCTATCTAAATCTTTTTAGCTCTAACCTTAACAAAGTAGCAGTAATATATTTATTTAATTAAATTGATTATTTTTGAATTAATTCTTACCTGTTTAAATAATTTAATTCCTTCTTTTTATTCAAAATTCAAAACCTTTGTATTTGCTTGTTACTTATATTATTATTTTAAGTAAAAATTTAGATTTATGGGTGGGAAAATCTATAAAAATAAAGTTGAAGGCAAAGGGTATTCAGGTGAGATTTTGGAAACCAATATATCAACTAATTCAACTATTTCAAACTCATAATAACAATAGTAATAAAACGATATTATTGTTTTAAATGTCTTATGTTCTAGATGTAAAAAACCTTTAACTAATAATGATTATTTTTTGTAAAATTGTGGACAAAATTAATGTTAAGTTAAATTTCACCAAGCATGTTTCTTCAAAGAATTGAATGATTAAAATACTAAAAAGGAGGTACTTTTATATAAATGCTAATGCGGAACTAAAATTCCTCTTAAAATACTTCGTAAATGTGGTGCCCCAAATCTATTGAATCTATTGTCTTCAATTCATCGCAGATAGGTAGAAATTCTTCTGAAAATTTCAACTTTGAGAAAAAATCAAGAAATTCTTTCATACTTTTCAGAGAATTAATAAAAAACGCATGAATTGGACTACTTTTTATCAGAATAAGATTAACTTATATACGATGAGACACCATAATGAAATGAATTTTATGATTTTAAAATGATAAACAAACTATATAGTTTAATTTACATCAATTAAAAATATATCTCATTTTACTATTCATATATATATGGAATCAAGTATTTTAGAACAAGTCTTTAATATTATAATACTTAATCATAAAATCTTTTTGATGATACATATACGTATATTTATGTATAAATTTCTTTAAGGTATAAGATATAAGATTCTATTATCCAATATTAAATCTAATTATCAAGATAGTTCAAGAAACTATCACTTGGATATTGAACTTTACTTAAATTATAATAATGTATATATTTATATAAAAATTCAAAAATCTAAAAGAATAATAAACTATTCCTACTAATTTTTAAATTGTTTTATCACTAAACTGATTATTTTAGACATTATTTATGTTGTCTTTTTTATAAAATAACATTAATGATCTTCTTTATCATTTAGAATTAAATCTGTTTAATAAATATTAAATCTTATTTTTATATATTTTAACAACTAGTGTATATATAGAATAATTTGTTATTTTTTTATATATTTAAAAATGGAATAATATGAACTTATTAGCTAAATTATCTCAAAAGAATAATTAACTAAGTAATAATTTTAAAAAATGTATAAGGAATATAAACAAACACTATCTTATTCAAATGTTATATATAGTTAATAATAGAGAGAATAATTAACATTGCCCATGTGGCGCAATTGGTAGCGCGACAGCCTTCTAAGCTGTAGGCTGCAGGTTCAATCCCTGCCATGGGTGACTCCTTTTTTTATTTTTTATTAGATTTTAAAATTAATATATTTTTTTTATATTTATTATAAATACTAATGAGTGCTGTGCCTTATGAAAAGATTTGTGAATTAGCAAGTCCTCTTTATTTTCCTTTAGAGATTGATGGTGCTATATATATGGTTTCATAAAATGGGGACATTTTAAAATTCAAGGATGGGTAATTTAAGGTAAGTTACATAAGATGAATGTAGGCTGAGTTTCATATATCAGGATAGCCTTATTCAATAGTAATTGATAAATTGAATAAGTTTATATATGTTGCAGATATGGCTCATTAAGCAATTTTAAAGAGATATATTGATGAGAACAGTTAAGAACAAATTACAGAATTTTTGAAAGACTATGAGGGATAACCATTATTAGGGCCTAATTCATTATTATTGTCAACAAAAAATAGTATGATTAAATATAATTAGATTTGTTATTCTTTACTGATTCTGGACCATTTGGTGAAACTTCAATAGAGAATTGCAAAGGATCTCTATTTGCTATAGATATGGATGCTTAAATTGTTAAACCCTTAGCATTATAATGTTTATCTTATCCAAGTGGTATATGTTTAAGCAATAATCAAAAATTATTATTTTTGTGTGAGACAGGTAAAAATAGAGTATTACGCTTTGTTTAAACAGATGCAGGAATATTTTATTATAGGTAGAATAAGATAATTAATTAAAATAGCACATATATACAATTTAATGGTAGATTTGGACCAATAGCTTGTGCTGTATCACAATCAGAACATCTCTATGTAGCTAGATTTGAATTTGGATATGTTTCAGAGGAGGGATAAATAAGTATATTTAATTCAAATGGAGTTAATGTTGAAAATGTTTCAATTCCTTAATGTCCTGAGATATCAGGATTAACATTTTCAAGGTATAAATATGAATTTATTATAAAGCTAAAAATCAAATATTCTTTATGTAACAGAGAATTCATCAACACCAAGTTGTTTACGTATATTAATAAATATAGAAGAGAAGGATGATGTAAAGAAAAAGGATAAAGATAAATTTAAATGATTGATTTATTAGAAATTATAATATCACTCAATAAATTTAGTTTCTCTAAGTGTTTCTTCTACTTTATAGATCTTTTTTAAATAATCTCTCACATCATTTTCTTATTTTAATCTTTCAAGTATATTCATTAATCTTTATAAATCATCTTTAGTGTCTGTGTTATCTGCTACAAACATTCTAACAGGAATAGCTATTATATAATAAATATTTAATATATACAATTATCTCCTGTAGTCCAAAAACTTAAAGGTTTAGAATCAACATAGACTATTTTCTTTCTGTCTCTACCTAAAAGATCAAGATCCTTAAAATAATCTTCTAAATCATCTTCTTCAACTAAATTGCATTGTTCTTAACAAAATATATGATCTTTAGGAAATTATGGACATAATTTTTCTAAGACTCTTTCAACATATATCCTTTATCCTTTTGACCAAATAACTGGTTCAGTGTGATTAAGGAAATATTCTAAAAAGTCATCCAATTATTCTCTTTTATAAACATGAACAAAATTATCGAATTCAGGGAGATCAATATAAAAATCATGTTGTCTCAAAGGTGCATTCATGAACATATCTTTTGGGTCTGGTATAAAGGAATATACTAAGACTTCATCTAATTCCATAACAACAGTTAATTTATCAGAATATTATTTCTTTTTGATTGGTAAGAGTTTTGGTTTATTTTAATTTTCTTCTTTAAGTTTATTAAAAGCAGGTTATAGTTGTTTCCAAGTAGCTGGATCATATGCTGAATCATCAACCTTTTCTTCTTTTTTATTAAACCATCCAAATAAACCATAAGATTATTTAAGATTTATTTAGTGAAGACTTCTTAAAATTTTAATCATATTTTATATATATATATATAATAATAATCAATTTAGCAATTATTCCAATTTTTATAATATTTATTATGGATGATCAACTTTAATAATTTTCATAATTTTAATTATTAGATCAGGATCATTAAAATGATTTTATTTCATTTTTTCAATTAATTTCAAGATGTAAACCATACAAGCTTCATTTTTCATATTTTCATCTAATTCTAATAGTCTTTTAGCTATTTTGATAAATTATTATATATCTTATAAAAGTAGAAAAACTTGATTAATTTTAAACATAAAATTATCATTGTTATCTATTTTAAAAAGTGATTTGATAGTTTAAATATCATGATTCTGATTATTTTATAATTATTTAATGGTATCTATTATTTATTAATCTGTAGAATGTTTCAATGAGAGTGTTTATTCTAATTAATTTTTAAAGTATAGAAAACAATCAACATATTTAGAATCACATTTCCATTTTTAAATAATAGGAAATACTTAATCTAAATTATAATGTTCTTCATGTTAATCATAAATGATTTCACAAATTTATCTACAAAATTATTCTAAATGAGAAACACCTAACATTACAGTTTTAATCTTTTCAGCTGTCATAATTAATTAATCTATTGAATTGACTGAAAAGATATCCATCAATTTATTTAAATCTTTGTCTTCATTTTCAAAAGTACCTGTCTTCATATTTTTATTCATGTTTTATATAAAATTAAAAGATTCTTGTAATTCTGATTTTGTTTCAGAATATAAGAGTTTTAATTAATTAAGTTGATCAGTTAAAAATGTATTATTATCTATTAATCTTTAATTTTCTTTTTTAATACGATTCAATTCTTGTGTTAATAATAAATTTTCATTTGTCAATGTTTAAAATGTTGTGTTTTCTTTTAATTAGTATTCTTAATTCTATTTTTTCATTTAGTTAAATTCATTAAGAAATTTTGATAATAATTCTGTGTTATTATCTGTTGACATTATTATTTAAATTTAAATTAATAATTTTTTTATAATATTTCATTAATTCATAAAAATATAATATAATAATAATGTAGAAGTAATAAAGATATATAAATAATAAAGAAGAAATCATTTCTTAAATTTGGTTTTCAATCTTTTATATTTACTATTATCTGAATTGGCTCTATTATTCTTCATTTTTAATATTTATTCACTTGTAAATTCAAAGGAAACCTTTTTACTGTTTGATCTTATCATAGAACTATTAAGACTTTAAGTGCTTGGTCTACTTCCTATCCTTAATACTTCAAATGAACTAGATTTGAGAATACCTCTTGGAGTAGATGTAGAACTACCTCTTTAAGATTGTAATCCATCATTATTTTAAATAATTCTTGATAATCTTTATGGTTTAGGGAATGGAAAACTTGTAATTTCACAATGATCATTTACAATTTATGTGACATAAATTTATCTTTTAGGTTTACGACCTTATATCATATTAGTTTATAGATTTGGTTGACTTTTCCGATGATTTTAGTTAATTTACTTCTCTAAAAATTATTCAATAGAATTTCTAGTGTTGTGTCTTTTACGTGAATTAGCCAAATGTACTTTATCTTATTTAGTAATATCATCTATATTGATAGTTTAAGATGGACTTTCACTTTATTGTAATCCATTTTAACTTGAAATACCATTTGTAGATTTAAATGGAGATGATTATGTTAATATTTCATCTTTGGAAACCAATGACTCTTTAAATTTACACATCAAATTATTGATTGTATTCATTTTGTTATGAACAGAAGTATTTTTATCATTACAATCCCAATAATGAAAATTAGGAGTAAGAGATTTACATTCAATTGATTTGATAGCTTCATCAGAATTAATGGAGTCTTCTGTATCAAATTGTTAATTCATTTTTATAAAATGTCTAATGATAATTTATTGATTACTAATGATTGGAGAATTATTACTTATAATGTATCAACAAGCATGTTTCAAATTGTGAGTGGTTACATATGTGCTGATCTAATGTCAATGTTCAATTTACATTTTATGGGGTAATACACAGATAAATATTAAACTGCTGCATATGGGATTGCATGGATGATAATATAGTTGCAATTTGTTCCCTTAGGATTAGGTTTTTTATATATATATATTATGTAGGGATCAATTAAGGACTGAATAATCAAGTGTCTCATGCTTTAGGGTAGAATAAGATCAAACTTTCTTAAACTTATTTGAATTTCGCAATCTATTCCATAATATTTATATCCTTACCCTTTTTTCTATTAATTTACAATTCACAATATTTGGTTCAATTCATAGTTCAAGAAGAAACAGAAATCATTACTTAATATGCATGGTATACAATTTCAAATAAATAAGGAAATTAGGCAAATGATTATTCCTTTATTTATAGCCGCATTTCTGCTCTTATAGATTGAATGTTTAAAATAGTATCTTGTTGGATGCAGAATATTTGAACCATTTCCATATATATATGCATCAACTCTAGTATTCCATTTGTTTGCATGTTCATTCCTATTCATAATTTGCAACCTAGGATTCATGGGCTTATGTTTGGCCATCATACTTAGTGAAGTAAGACAACTCCTTTATTAACATTCAAGTTATTTACATTATTGATGTTGATCAGATACATCTATAAGAATCCAGAAGTATATAATTTGATTGCCAGTTTCGAATTCTCATGTCAAATATTTTAGTATAGAGAAACATACATAATGTTTATTAAAGAGTCTATCCCATTAATTTTACACATTTATGCTGATTTCATAGTTTTCTATATATTATCCTTTGTGGCCTTCTCTTTAGGAGTCAATTAAGCCAATGCACAACTTGCATTTGCCAATACTAGTTCTATTTACTTTAAATTCCCTATTAGTTTATCAGTAACTCTAATGTCATATGTTGGAAATAGTTTAAGTAAAGTTTTCTTATTAATAGAGGCCAAAATAAAATTGAATTGGCTAAATAATATATAATAAGTGGTATGTGTCTTTAAGGATTTGTATTGATTACTTTAGTAATTGGTCTCACTATTTTCAAAGAGGAATGGAGTCATTTATATTCATCTGATGTTTAGATTCAACAAATAATGTTAGAAACTCTACCATATTTTCTTATTGGAAGTGTATGTTTAGATGGGATTTAAGGAGCATTATCAGGAGCTTTAAAAGGAGTAAACAAATCAACAATTGTATCTAATCAAACAATGATATCATACTATATTATTGGAGTTCCAGTTGTATTAATATTAGCATATGTTTTAAATTTATAATTGATTGGAATATGGTTAGGTTTTGGTTTATGCAATTTGTATTTAACAATTATATTTCTATATGTACTCAAAAATTTAGATTGGAATTAATAAGCTGATTTGATAACTGAGAAACTGTAAAAACATTAAGATTGTTTAGGAGATATAGATTTGCCATTAATTTAAAAATAATAAGAATAATAATGATTTATAATGTACAAAATTATTATACAATAGTTACTCATTCTTTTACTTTCTTTTATTTTTATCTAAGATTCTCAATATCTTATTGAAATTATTACTGAAGTTATTATTTTTATAATTTCAAAATATCCTTCTTCTTTTAATGTGGTAAATTATCATCTAATCCTTAAATTACTTATTCTATTTCTTCAACATCTACATTCTTCTTTGTTTTATTTTTGTTTCTTCCAACCCAATTTCTTTTCTCAAATTTAGGTTTCTCTACATTTGTCTCAAAATCACCATATTTATTCATAGCTATCTAATATCCTTCTTTTTATGCTTCTTCTAATATTTAATTCTTTTTCTCATCTACAAATTCATAATTTTATAATAATTTCTTTTCATAATTAGTTGAAATAGGAGCACTTTTAAATTTGTTATTAATTCTTTATTAAAAATATTCAATATCAAAACATTTAGTCAAATCATATTCATTCTTAAAAACTACTAAACCTACATGTAATAGTTTTTTTTTATTATTATCAACTACTTTCATTGATCCAACATAAACTCTTCGAATAATTCCACATAATTTAAATACTTTTGCAATAAATTTACGATCAAAAGGAGAATCAAAATTCATTATTATTAATGTTCTATTCTTTGGTAATTCACCTTAATCCATCTTTACACTACTTGTCACTTCTTTCCCTTCCTCCACTTTCTACTTTGTCTATTCTATTCTCTCTTTCATGATTAATTAATTTAATCCATTGTATAGATTATCATTCTCTTCTTGCTCTATTGGCATTCTCTTAAAATATAAAATCATCCTCTCTTTATCAAACACTTTAACATTATGAAACTTAAAATGATTTTCACTATTATATTTAATCATAATTAATTATTTTTAAATATAAACAAAATTATCATAAACCTAATACAATTTAATACAAAAATGATTTTTCTACATTTCTCATTCCTTAATATAATCCATTTTTTTTAGAGATTTGATCATTCATCCAATTTTACAAAAACTTCAAATAGATATTAATTTAAGATGATAACTGATGAATTATTATATAGATCTTTAATTTTATATTATTTAAATGGATTTATTAAAATATTAATATAAATATGCTTAATATGATTATCAACAACCAGAATTATAAAGAATTACCTATATTTTTATTTTGATATAAGAATTAAAATTATTAGATAAAGAACTTTAGTGTAAACTTATTTATTATTTAATATTAATCATTTCTCAGTTAATTCTCTATATCCTTTCCAATCACCAGGTTTCTAATAATTGGTTTCCTCCATACTATGTAAAACAGCTTCTGTTGGACCATCATTTGGTTTAATTTTGAGAGCCTCTTAAAACATGGCACGTGCAGTCTTCCAATCTCCATCCAAATAAGCTTAAAATGCTTTACGAAATACTTCCTAATTTCAATTAAATAAACAATTTACCATAAAATCTTTTTTAAATCCAGTCAATAAATATCTTAAATCTTTATTTTCTTAAAGATGTTCTGCTACTTTAAATTCTCCACTTTCAACTTATTCTTTAATTTCTAATTTCTTTTATCTCAAAAGCATTTTCAATTCTTCCTTAGTCAAATCTTTGTATTTCACTTGTGGATCATTACTTGGAGGTAAATTATCCACATTCATATCAATAGTATAAAGACTAACAGGAATATTTGATCCTTTAACACAAACTCTATCAATATGTCTGATATATTCTTAAAATTCAGGTGAGAAATGCTCATAGAGTTATTCAGAAATTAAAATTGGAACACCATATTATTTAGTGGCTGCTTCTAGTCTTGATGCCATATTAACATTAGGACTCAAATATGAAGCATCAATTTTATAATTAGATCCTATAGCTCCTTCAATTCCCCATCCCATATGAAGTCCAAATCCTATTTTAACTTTATAATTGTCCATTCTAGCTTAGAGTCTTTTATCTTATCGATAAGCTAAGATTTTTGGTTCTCTATTGATTTTGCATTGAATTTTCATAAAAGAAATCAAGGCACAATCAGATAAAGTTTATATATATCTAAAATATAATAATATTGTATTACTATTTATCATGCCAAATTACATTATCTTCTTCAAAAGAATAAGTTTCTGGTCTGGTTTTCCAAACCAATAAAAATGCATCACCAATATTCTTGTTTGCTGCTCCAAGATATCTATCAACCATTGTATGTACTATATCTCCTATGTTATTAACAAACACCATGACATCTTCTTAAAGAACTTCAGTTGCATCTGTAAAATTTCTGATATCACAAAAACCATAAATAGCTACTTTTTTGATTCCAGGTAACATAGGATCAACATCTCCTTACTTTTTCATATTTATTCTAATAATTTCAGTACCAGCATCACCAAATCCTAAAGCTAATAATGTACCAATTTTAACAATTGTATTTTCAATCTTAACTGTTTCATTAGAGTTTTCATTTTATATAACAGCCATTTCTGTAACAATTTAAGGATCATTGGCTATTTTATTAATTTTATCAATCATTCTTTCTAAGGGTCTCAATGCTAAATCATTAGAATCCTTTGAAAACATCATAGCTCCAAAAGTCAAGACTATACTCACAAAGATAGTTCTGATTATTGATAAGATACTTGTCATTACAGCTGCTTATCTTGTACTCAAGATACCTACAACATCAGGATTTTCTTTACTAAAAAGAATATTATTTAATTAACATACTCAAAATTTGCAATGGCAGCTTCAGGTAAATTAGTAGTTTTTATAAGAACTTCATAATCTAAGGTATATGCTCCAACATCTTATTCATCAGTTCTTAAATTTGGATAATCTTCATGTTCATAAATGGGGAAATCCTTATAATTGTAAAGAGGACTAGTGAATAACACAATATAATTGTCAATGCCACTATGATCAATAATAATTTAATCATATGCATTTTTCACATCTTCATATGTTGATGCTTCAGATTCAGCCAGTTTTACAAATTATTAAGATTACATCAACATACTTGTAGGTGGTGACACAAAGTAATCTACAGAAAACAATGGAATCAAAAATAATAAAGCCAAGACAACTATAATAACCTTTTTAGTAGTTGAATCTGATAACATTTTTGATACTTTAGATTCTTTGGTTTCTCCTTCCTCACTCTATCCAGGATTATTTTAATCAGGCCTATCTTATATTTGTGGTTCCACTGTATTAGCTTTTCTTTTCTATCTTCTTTAAGAAATTAATTTCTAAACTTTATCTTCATCATCTTTGTTAGCAGATTTGTAAACTTTAACCAACCTTATCAATCTCACTAACCTAACTACTCTACCTGCTTTAGTTCCAACTCTAGATGCTCTTCCTGCTCTTGCCAATCCTGCTGTGTTTTTAGCTTAACCTCCTGCTCCACTCAATCCAACAGCCTAATTGAAAAGACTAATATCAAGCAATAAAGAAATTGTTGAAATTGTATCAAGCCAAAAGAAGAAGGACAGAAAGTATCCTTCTTTAACTATTACTGACAGTATGATTTCACTTGAAAACATTATCTAAACCCATTAATAAAACTGTTCTTACCAAACATGTAATGTTCAAAGCATCAAAAACTATGTCTGCACTTAAACGAAAAGCAGCTACTCTGATATCATCTCCAAAAAGAGCATATAGAGTCAGAATGTTAATTATTACTTAAAATAATGTGCTTTCCAAAACTATTTCAAAAATAGATGCTCGATGAGAACTAGACTTATAAATATATAAATTTTACTTCTTTTCCATTGTTTATTAAAAGATGTCAACATCTGCCTGTGCTTGTGGCTGATCAGTCATATTTAATTTTATATTTAATATTAACTTTAATATTCATATTCTTTTCTCCTTATCTCATCAATTCCTCTCTCCAATTCAATTCACATTCCAACTGAAAATCATATCTGATAACATTTTTATTCAATAGTTTTCCCTAATAATCATTTAATCCTTTCTAACATTATATTAATATGTAGAAACTAATTAATCATCTATTATTAACTTTGTTTTCACAAATCTTAAAATATATACAAATATCTTTATATCTATATTAATATATATAATAGCACATAAATTACAAAAACAAAATCTTCACATATAATGTATTGTTTTTCAAAATATTATTAGAAGTAATTCATGCTTTTTGATTTGCAACAAAAAACGCATTAAATTTTCTATAATCTTATTTAGATTAAATCATTGTCTTTAATCAAAGTTCATATTATCAATATCTTAATATTAATAATAATAATACCTATTTAATTTATGCTTATATATTCAATTTAATTTTAGCAGAACTTTCAGAATTATTTACTTAATCATAATGATGAAATCAAATAATTTTTATATATTAAAAACAATTATATTTAATGAGTTTATGTTATATACTATTATTTATATAATTAGCTGCTAATAATCCTAATAAATTAAGTATATAATGTGAAAAAATTATGTTATGAAAATTATGAATTATCTAAAATAATTAAAAATATAATTATGCATTAATATGTTCCATTATATATTTATCATTATTATTTAATAGCTATACAACTTGATTTACCACCTTCCCATTTGATACCAAAGCTATATTCATCAATTTATGCATATTCAAATTTATTTTAATGAATACTGGACCATGTATATTTTGAATTACTGAATTTTTTATGTTCTGAACTCTAAGTTTTTCTTATACTACCACTCATTAATATTGGTTAATGATATTTGTATGTTATAAATTCTCCTGAAGGATCAAAGTAAAGTGTAATATTCTTTAACATTACAATAGAATCCTTGATTTATTATATTCTAAAGTTTATTTGAATATATATTTACTGTTAATCAATAGGAATTACAACTTATGGATTTATAATTTATTATTGGTATGGCTATGGCTGTAATTATTGCATTGGCAATGGCTATGGCTAACTTAAAATACTTTAATTTTGTGAATCATATTGTTGTTTTTCATTATTTTCGTTATAATAATTCTAACTATTTAAGAGTTATTAATCTGTATTTTATAATCCAAATTATTATTTTATTTGTCCCTATTAGTATTAGTCATATTATGGCATGTATTATTGATTTATTACATCATTTTGATTTTAGACTGGATTTATTGGAATCATTCCTTAATTATTTATATCGTTTTATGGCATATTGTTGCTTTAATCTGGTTGAGGTAACTAATTATTAATAAGCACCATATTTAAACCGGGATAATTCCCTAAATTTCCAAAAAATAAGTTTTGGTCATCAGTCAATGCTGTCCAATTAGGATCATATAATACAAAAGAATCCACTATTAAATTGCACTATTGTCTCAATTAGTTGAAATACTTTTTTATATTACTATAAATACCTATCCTAATTGTAAGTTTGGATCTACACAGTCTTACAAAATTCCTGTTGGTTATCCACCTTCAAGTTTATAAACTGATATTGGTACGCCTTATGTTACACTTTATTGTATACCTTATTGTACATCTTATTGTCCCCCTTATTGTACACCTTAATCATTAAAAAATATAAATAATTTTGCATTATCATCAAATAATTGTTTAAGATCAGAGTCAGGGTCTAATAAAGCTGATTATCCATTTAATTAATATCCCACTTACAAATTTGGATTCTTAAACCCTTCAATCACAAAATCAATAATTTCTTTTGCCTTAGCTGTTTAATCATTTGTTTGAAATTGAATAGGTTATTCTAGTTAAAAATTTGAGGCATAAAGCAAAAAATTCATCATATTGATATATTTATTAATGTTTTCCTGATCATTTGATTTTTGATTTATTTATTTGTAATTCTATTAATGAAATGTTTTCAAGATTTTATTGACATTATCATCAAATATTACAATAACCAAGGTTTGGAGACAAATTAGTCATAAAGTATAATTAAAAAAAGTGATGATCAAATGAGATTACTTAAATACTTAAAGAAAAGGATATTAAATTTTTTGTAATATAAAATTTTATATATGATTTTAATAAAATATATAATAAATTTTATTAATATAAATTCTTTTGATTATTTTTGAGAAATTTGAATCCAAAAGAGAGTCTAATATATATTTAGAATATAGTAATCAACTAATTTATAAACTTAAAGTTAAGTTTAAAAATAAGAACAAATATTCTTTAGAGAGAATATCAAATCAAATAATATATGAGATTAATTTTGGATTGATATAAAATCAATTTTTGATTTTCTATTTGATTTACATTTAACTATGACATCTACTTTTAATATTTTTTTTGCTGTCAATTTTCGAGGAATTAGCGAGACTGAACTGTTTCCTATCTGATGTTTTTGTATGTTGATATGAGAGACTCAATAAATAATCGAATATAGAACAGCATTTTTAGATAGGGCTAGTTTTTTATTTTGTTAATTTTTTGAAGTTTAACATACTATTTAAGACTAAGATATTTTATGTTTTAAAATACCTTATTTATTTTCTATAATTCCAGTTTAACATCTCTTATGAGTTGGTTTTTTATCTGATATTTTTTTGAATTAGACACTTGAGATAAGAACATTCTATTTATTAAGATTAATGATAGATTGTTTTAATTTTTAAGTTGTATTTTATGACTTTTCTTATCTAATAGGTGATGTATTTTTGGTGAATAAATCAATAGCATTCATTGATCTACGACGTTAAAACATTTATGGTTCAATAATAAGTTAACTCTAAAGTGTTGAAAGGTTAATAATTTACTTCATTCAATTAAAATTGATGTTGACTTCTATCAGTAAGTAAACTTAATTCATGAGATTCAATTAAAAGATTCGAGAAGTCATAACTAAATGTTTTCTTTTAACATTTTAAACATTGAATCCAATATTTGTTTTATAATTAGCTACATATATGATAAACAAATACCTTTATTATAATTACTTATTTTTATTTGTGCATTTGAGACATATATGATGAGAACAAATCAACTAAATCAATGCTGTATTTTTCAAGCAAAGTTGACATGTTTGCATTTATTTGTAATAATTTCTTTTTATAAATACATAAATGATTATTTGTAATGTACTTAAATTATAAACTCATTTCTTAGCTGGAGCTTTCTTTTAAGTTTATGGCTTATCTGCAGCAGCAGCAGCGGCAGCAGCCTTTTAAGCAGCTACTACTTAGGCATTAACAGTGAAGATATATTATTTAGAGTTTTAATCACCAGCTGGAACCAATAAACCTGATTTTGCAAAATGTCTAATACATCTTCTGGCTAAAGAACTATAATTATAATTATAGAAGCAATATTTTACCCATTTACTTTGAATTTATCTGATACTGTTGAGACTGTGATCAATGATCCCATTTTTGGTAATTAAGTCTCAATTTATTTGTAGGATGTTTAATCTAAATATACGGCATTGTTCAACTTATCCTTTGCTCTTCCTTTGGTCCATTTCTATTGTGCATAATCAAAATAGATGTAATACCTTCTTTGTTTATTTACTTCTTTGTGATGCAGCTTTAGCAATCTAATCTTTTGTTTTCTTTTAACCTTATGTTGGTTGTTTTCCCTATATTATATAAAGACATGTATTACCATGATTTCAAATCTTTAATAAAAATTTTGAAAAATATTTAATACCAATTAATGCAGCAATAAGTCACCACAGTTCAAACAGATAAATTCAAAGCCATTGGTCCTTATTCAGCTGGTAAAATTGTAGCTCCAACTGCTAATTTAGTCTATTTATCAGGTCAATTGGGTATTGTTCCTGAAGTAATTACATAAAAATCTATATATAATAGACAGGAAATCTTATTTCTGAAGATGTAGCAGAATAAGCAACACAAGCAATGAAGAATGTAGGAATCTTGTTAGAAGCATCAAAATCTAGCTTTAAGAATGTTGTAAAATGCATAGTTTATTTGGTTGATATGGCTGACTTTGCAAAGGTCAATGAGGCATATGCTAAATTCTTTGATGGTGATTATCCAGCTAGAGTTTGTATTGCAGTCAAATAACTACCAAAAGGTGGTTTAGTTGAAGTTGAAGTTATTGCAGTTCAAGATACAGAATGATGAAGAATTTTATTGCATAAAAAAATTGTATAAAAAAAGAACATTAGTTTTAAATAATATTGGTTTCACCAAATAGTTTATAATCTATATTACATAAACCTTAGATTATCAAATTAATATGAAAAATATATATTTAATTTAACACTTGAAAAAAAGACACAAATTAATATATGAAAATTCATGATGATTTATCCCTTTCAGATTTATAAACCAGTTTTTTCGTATTATCTTTATGTTATATTTTTAAATAAAATAAATTAATGATGAAAGGAAGTTAATAAAGTGTTCTTTTGAAAGAGTTGAAAGAAATTCCAATTTATTCTGATAACTGGTTTTGGAAGCTTCGAATGAGAAATCAAGCTTTACTCTAATTTTCAATTATATTTGTCCTAATGTTAGGAGTGGTTTTAGGAATTTATTTAGTTAATATGGCAATAATTGTTCCTCTTTTAGAATAATCTTCATTTGAGATTTATAATAGTAATGCAAAACATACATTATAAAGTCATTTAAGAAGTTATGATGGCATTCTAAATGGAATCTTTAATATAAGTAATATTTTTTTTTAAATTAATTAAGATATTCACTAATTGCAAATTATTCATTAAATTTATTCTTAGTCATATAGAAACCTAGAAAAATAAGATAATATTACCTTAGATTATAGAGCTCATATGGATTATGCAGGTACAAATAAAATGCCTTAAATACTTGTTAATTAACCACCAGGTTCATTACAAAAAACACATTCATTTATGTGCTACACAAATAAAACTAACATTACTTATCCAATCAATAAGGTTACTTTAATAAACTTAAAAATATAAGAAACTATGTATCCTATTGGTCATATATTGGATGCAACAAAATTAAATATCAAATCACTTTTTTATGTAGGAACTTTAGAAGAACCTTAAGTTTATTTCTCATATCCTTGTACTAATTTTTAATAAGCTATTTATGGATTAAATATTCCAAAGAGACCTTGGTTTTTAAAAGGTGTTAGTGTATATAATCAATCAAATTTTAGTGATTATGATTATTAATTCACTGATCCCTTTCTTTGTAACTTTAATTAATTTTATCTTTAGAATTTACCAAAGATAAAATTGAAGTAACGTTAGTCATGCCTTTGCTTGATAGTAAGCTTAATTTAAAAGGAGTTATGGCTTCAGATTTGGGAACAGATCTTAATAAGTTTGTAGTTAAAACAGATTAAAATGTTCATATGGTTCTATTAGCAAATGCAAAAGGATTACTTATATATCATAGTTACAATGTTAGTTTATCACTCTTACCAATATATATTTTCAATACTTCATTAACAGGATTTACATTAGATGATTGGACTTCAATAGTAGATACTAAATAAAGCAATTGTTCATCATATCCTAGGAACTCTAGTTTACTTTGTCGTTATAATAGTGTTTATGATAAAGATTTGGTTATTACAATTCATGAGATAAAGAAATTTAATTATCTCTTTATGATGTAAGTATTTAACTTCAATCTAGTTAAGATTTCATGACACTAATGATTATACTGATTATCAACTTAAATCAACATAAGAGATGTTGAATAAACTTTAATCAGAAGCAATTCAATTTCTATAAATTGCTATTGGTATATTTCTAGCAGCTATGTTTATAGCTATCTGTATTCTTATTTTAATCTTTTATCCAATTTAGAACATAATTGACAATTGTCATTATATTATGGGTATTAAGTATAGATAAAATGTACATAAGAAAATTTTGCTGACTAAATTCTTTATTCCTTTTTTGAATCCTCAATTATAATTGTTATTTTTAGCCTATACTAATTTAGTCAAAAGGTTTTTATCCTTATCATAGTCAAAAGGAACACTTTGTAAAACCTTGGAAGCATTATAATATCCAAAAAAGATTAAATAAAAAGCTCATATTTCATTAAATCGATATTTGAAACAATGTTTAAATCTAATAGAGAAAAACACAATGATCCATTAGGCTCCATTTCGCCTTCCATCTTAATTAATGGGAAGATTTGTTGAAAAGTTACTAATGAAATTTTACTAATGATAATAATTATATTATAATAATTTTCATGAAGAGGGTGCTGGTTATTCTTCAATCAAAGGTTAATATAAATTCTACTATTATTATTATTATTATTATTGTAGTTGTTATTATTGTTAATCACCACCTAAATAAGTATTAACAACTTCAGTTCCATATTTCTTTTAAACTATTTATTTTGTTCCATTACCAATAGAACTTCCTACTTAACATAAGGCTGTGCCTAATCCTGATAGAGCTGTTCCTGCTGCATCCCATGTAGCTGCTGTTAATTGTTTACTTTACTTTAAAACTAAGAATTAAATTTAAATTTATATTTACTGTTGCTATCTGAATTATCTATTTTATGTCCTAATTCATTTGTTAATTCTTTAGTCTTCTCTGCAACTGGTTTAAATAATTATCCTAGATATTGTCCTGTAACATCAAAGACTACACTAACTTTCTCTTTTGCTGATTAAAATTTAGTTTTTGTATTTGGATCAACTTAAACTTCTTAACCTGGTTAAATTTTATCATTCAAATATTAAGTTCCTTTGTTTATTCCTGTTGCCATTATTGTTCCCAAAAACATAAATCCTTTCTTTAGATAACTAGAGGAATATAATAACTAAATTTTTACTCTCCACCCTTTACAATATATTATGCAGCATCATTAGGATTATTTAAAGGATTAGTAGCAATATCTTTACAATGTAATTCGATAGTGTCTTTAAATTGTTGTATTTACATAGCTTAATCAAATGGAACCATTGATACAACTGAGTTTAAGGCTGTGTGGAATACATTTAATAAGTCACTTTGTGGAATAAAGATTCCATTTAAACCTAAAACATATTGTGGTTTTAATCTATTACCTTAGTCTATATGAGGGAAAATAAGTGTCAATCCAGATTCAGATGATAAATATACAAAAGGAGTACCAGGAACAATATTCTAACAGAATCTCTCTATAGTAATGAAATGAGTTTTGGAATCTTAAAATTAGGCCAACTTTACAGTGCCTTAAAAAACCTTTGTTCTAGAGTTTTATATCAATCTGAAGAATTATGCGTTTTCAGCAATTGAAACTACTTATGCCATTTCTTTAGGTTGTTCTTATAGCATTTTAATATTTAAAATAATAGATACGTGTAAAATGAGAATTATAGCAATGTACCTATTGAAATATCATCCTGAAAATCCTCTATTTATATCTTAAAACTATGAGCTTTCATTTGTGAAGTACAAATTTTGAATAATATATTGATAGTTGGTTTTAGCGTCCTTTCTTTAAAGAAACTCTCAATTTTGGAGCAAGAACATGTGCAGCGTATTCTATATAGTATAAAATTAATAGACGAGCCAAACCTGGTACTAGAAGTGCTGTCACTAATCAAGAAGCTCATGCTGTGTCATATATATGCATTGATAAAAATAATCTAGCAGCTCTTGTTATTGCAGATGATTAATATCCTGAAAAAGTAGCTTTTATGGTTATTCAAAATATGTATTAAGAATACTATCGTCAATATAATTCAATGTTTTTAGACACTATAGTCGGTATTCATCATATTTTATCATTTTACAGCTGATCAAAACATAAATATACCAAAATTTGAAGAATTCATCAAACTTTATCAAGATCCTAAAGAGGTTGATAAATTACTTAAAATTGAGAATACTCTTAATGAAGTAACAATGATAGTGCATTAATCTCTTGATGATGTATGTTAATTTTATATTATTAGCTTTTAAAAAGAGGGGAGACATTGGAATCATTAATGGCAAAATCAAAAGATATGAGTAGTGTGAGTTTAGATTTCTATAAAAATGCTAAAAAAACAAATAATAAATGTTGCAGCTTATATTGAATAACAATATATATATCTATATTTAATATATGAATCTCATAATGTTGCTGCCTTTGATGCCATCTCTTTTGCTTTGGCTTCATTGTTACCCAAAAAGGTAGATATTTATTGACCTTTATGGAATAAGTAAACAGCTGGAATTCCTTAATTCTAAAAACTTTATTATATTCCTTACAGCATATTAAGATGAAATCTTTTGTAATTCTTCAATGTCAACATTGAGGACTGCCAATTCCCACTTTCCTTAACTTTATTCATGTAGAGCATGGAGTTTGGGTTTTAACACTTTGCATGGACCACACCTAAAAAATTAAATAATTTAAAAAACCAGTCAGCATAGAAATCAACAATGACTGGTTTTTGATTTTAAAGAACAAGTGTATTCCAATCATTTTCTGTTTTGATTGTTAAAATATGATCTTACATTAATAAAATATAAATATTAATATTTGCAACACTTGATTTTATGAGAATTTAAAGTCATATTCTTTTAATTAAAATAGATATATCTCAAACAATTTTAATTAAAATTAAATATATTCTCATTATCCAGAATTTTCGAAATTCTAATTATCTATAACAAATATTTTGAATAGATCAGAGATTTCAAAAATGGAAACCACTCTTTATTCATTATCTAAACACACTAAACTACCTCTAGGTGATAATAATAGGTTTTCAACAACCTATATATATATATATTAATAATTATAATTTACTTATTTTATGGTTTGATTAAATGAGAATTATTATTTATTTCTAATATAATATGCCAAATATTTAGAATCTTCAGTTTTAATTAATGATAAAAACTTCTCTGTTGTAGATGCTAACTATTTAATCAGATATTATTATAATTACTATATCAAACATCTAATATTTTAAAATAAATAAGAAATCTCTTCTATCAATCAAACCCAAATATTTATTATTTTAATCTACTATTGCTATTGTATTCCTTTTGTAAATGTAAATTAATTTATAAAATAGACTAATAATATAATTCAAAAGTAATACTCATAAACAGGTATATGTGCAGGTAATGTATATTATAATTATGTAACTTAATCTTTGAAATATTCCATTTATAATTCATGCTATTCATGATGATGATTTGTATTAGTTGTTTTATTTTAATGTTTTTTTAATGCAAAATATTAACTAAATCCTTTAACTAGGAAACTAAGTATATCTTTTTGTTAAATAATTCCTGAAATCATTTTTGATTCTTTTTCTATGACAATGATTCTAGTAATATTTTCTGTAATAAATTTTTAACACACATCATTTAAATTTTCATCTAATTCTGCTTTTATTAAACAATTCTAATGTAGATTTTCTCCAATACTATTAAACCAAGCTTTAATTGATATATTCTTAAAGTCTTATAATAATTAATTGAATTAATCTATTGTTAATCTACCAAATATGGTTCTTTTGATAGGTGAATAAGACTCCTCTTCATTCTCTATTTCAATAATGGCTTTTATATTATTTGTCGTCCAAACTATCTAAAAATAAACTCATATTAAATTACTATTTGGAATATCATATAGAACATTATAATAACATTTTAAAACAGTCTTTATTAAATCTGTCTATGTAAATACTCCATCATAATTAGCTATCTCTTGATTCCAAAATAAAACTTCATCAACATGAGAATCAATAAATATCTTGAAAGTATCAAAAAGAGACAAACTCATATCAACAACAGAAACTTGATTATTTATTGATAAACAATCATAAACACTACTATCACGTAAAAAGTAAGTTAGAGTTGTCACATATTCTTCTTTTAATAAATCTTCTTTGCTAGGTTGACTATGTTTCATATATTTATATATATATATATATAATATTATTATTATCAATATGTGATTTCATATATTTATTACTCATAAATACTTTTTCGATATAAATAAATCAATAATAGAGGGATATTTACATATAATTTTAGAAAAATATAATTATTCATCTTTATATAATTTAATAAATGTTAGAGAGTGTTAAGAAATCAGCCATTAATTTTCTAATTTCCTAAGATGACTAAGCCTAATTTTATGAATACAAATACTTTATTGGATAATTCAATCCAAAGAATGATCAAGATAAGTGAATAATATTATTTGCACATAAGGAGTTTGTAATCAAAATCCAATAGCGTTATTTTACTTATCAATGTGCTGGATTATGCTTTGCCGCTTATATCATGTTTGCCTATAGAAGAATGTTGAGTGGTGGAGTACTTTCCCCACTTACAAAGATTTCCATAGATCTCACTTTATTATCAGCATCTTTATTGTATTATTTGATTATCAATAATTAAGTTTATCATCTAAAATAGGAGTCACTTCTGTCATGAGAGATCTAGTACCTTTACGTAAGAAATTGTTAAATGAACCAGATGTTGATTATTTAAGACATCTTCTTAGTAAATATCATAAATTTGATTTTTACAAAGAAAATGAATTTACATTATATCATGATGTATTAACAGCATCTGAATTCAAAGAATGGAAAGAGTTACATAAATTTGATGTAACCAAATTCTGAGTATATTAAGAATGAATAATTAATTATTTGATCATTTTCTATAATATCATTGTTATATACTATTCTAATGATTCCTTAGGTTCTCAAATATTAAATAATTATTAATAATAAATAATGGAATAAATTAAATAATTAAGTGATATTATGTAGAAAATATTAAAATCACATAAATAAACAATATAAAATTGTTGAGTATTATTAATAATATTAATTTATCTAAAATATTTAGATAAATTATTTAAACATAATCATGACTGATATTATTAATTTCTATATAATACTTAACATATATAAAATATATATATATATCAATTCATATTTAAATCATTTTAGATCTCAAATTAGCCAATCTAAATTAATAAACTTAAAAATAGTTATTTGTTAAACTAAAATTAAGAAAAATTCAGAAATCTCAAAAATAAGATTAATAATAAAATTGAAAGAGTAAAGACTGAATTTACTGCTACTTAAAAAACAGGATTACTTTTGTAAAATTATCAATTCACATAAATCCTCTGGATATTTAGTGTCAAGAAGCTAATAAACTAAAGTAGGATAAGTGAAATTAAGTGGATTAATCTAAAACTCTATATAAATTTGATAAATTATCTTCCTTTAAATAAATGCTTCTAAAAATATTCAATAATTAAGAAAAGTTAAATTGACGATGTAGTATATATTTAGTTATTCTATAAGAGAAAAAAATATTATCAAATAACAAGACTGGAATAATAGTAGAAATGGTAACTTTATTAAAAGTAGATAAAGAATCATTAGAATACTTAAAATGGATATCAAAAGCATAATTAGTATTATAAATCATTAATAACATAGGATCATCCTAATCTCTATTTTATACTTGAAATATATCAAGATTAAAATTCATATCAAGTCATTTATGAATTTTTTGATGGAAAATCATTGTTAGAATTAGTATCTGAAGACAATCGACTTCCTTTAGTTTAAATCAATTTGATTATGAGATAGATAATCTCTATTATATCTTACTTACATTCTCTAAATCTGATTCATGGAAAAATTTGACTCTTGATTTCGTTTAATTTAAAAGAAAGCAAAATGAAATTTTAATTAAATTAATAGATACAAATAAAGTTAAAATCAAAGAATCAGAATCTATAAATATCTTAAATTTAACATCTCCAGAATGATTGAATCACCTTAATAATTATACAACTGCAAGAGATGTATGGGCTATCGGTATCATATGTTATTGTCTTACCAATGATAATTTACCATATAATATTCCTCCAAATGTAGATTATTTAAATAAACTGAGATTTAATTTAATGATCATGATTAGTTAATAACTAAGTTTATTTAGAAAATGTTAGACCATAACTCAAAAAGCAGAATTGAATTAATTATTATAAGTTTAATTTTTATAGTAAACTAATGAGAAATAACAATTTTTTTAGAAATCTTATTGAATTTAGCTATTTATTATAAGAATTTAATTGTGAATAATATCTTTAAATTTTGAATTTATTTTCAGAAGGAGATTAATACATGAATGGATATTTAATATCTAAATGATCTAAATTCAGAAGAATTGGTTGAGTAAGTATTTTTAAATTATGATATCAATGAAGAAAATGGAATTAATAGCTAATAATTCTAATAGATAAATGCTAAAAGAGATATTTTATTAACAGAGAGCAATATTGTAATAGGCTTCTAGATTTTCTCATATGCCAATAGGAAATACATCTGAATGTTTTAAGAAGATAATTGGATTCCAATTCAAAAGATATTTTAGTAACATCTCAAATATTTCAATTGATTATTTGATAATTTATTATTCAATATAAATTTATTCAATCAATTTTATCTTTATATTAACAAATAATTAAATATAGAGTTTTATTTGATCAAATTAATACACTTGATAATTAAAATATAATATTTTTCAAATCTTTATTTGATAATTTATGTTATTAAAACTGTTTTGGATGAATTTAATTATTATTATTATGGGTGTTTGTCTAACTAAATCTGCAAATTCTAAAAGATCAAATACTTAAACTTCCTAAACTAAAATCAGATTACATACAGAAGTTGCTGAGATTTCTCATAATATTCCAAGAAGATGTCTCAATCTTTCAATTGATCCAATCAAAAGTCATGATTATAAAAATTCTCCACTTTCTGAAGGAGTAATTCTCACTTAAAGAACAAAAAGAAGAATCACTTTAAAGAAATAAGGTTCTAATAATTACACTGCAACTACATGCAGTTCACATCATATACTTTTACCTACTTGTGCATTCAAGAAATATTCACTGATTAGAAAAAAACAAGGAAATCATGTATCTATCTCATGTTTAATATAGTCTATATCCATAATCTAAAACAATGTGACAGGCAAAATCATGTAATTGGAAACTTTTAGAAAAGATGATTTAGATTGTGCAAATTATATTGAATGGTTGATTAGAAACAAAATTGTATTCTTTAATCTCATTTCTAGGATAACCCAAATATTATAAGAGTATCTGAGATATTTTAAGATAATAAATATTATTAAGTTGTTTCTGAACACTTTGAAGGCAATGAATTATAAGATTTAATGTAAGAGGGAACTAAATTACCTAAATCTTTAGTATCATAAGTCTTATATCAAATGATGTAAGCTATTCATTATTTACATTAACAATAAATATATCATGGAGCACTTACTATTAATTCATTTTTATATTAAAGAAAATAAGATGGAATTATAGTTAAATTATCTAATCTAAAAGGTATATTGATAAAAGATGAAGATGATATGGAAGTACTTAAATATACTTCTCCTGAGTGTATTTATCATCCAAAATAGAATGAGGCAAGAGATGTATGGGCTATTGCATTGATTGGATTAACATTAAAAAAAGGAGGTATTCCTTATGAATTACCTAAATAATTAACATAGGAAAAATTGAGGATTTTAGTTAAAAATCATCTATTTAAATTTGAAAATAAGAAGGATTAATAATTTAAAGAATTTCTTACTAATTCTTTGAATCAAAATCCAAATACAAGAGCTAATTTAGACTAATTATTAAACTTACCCTTCATAAATAGTTATTAATCAAAGATAAAAACCGCATAAGAAATTTTACTTACTAATATTTTAGAGGCAAAACCTTTTTGTTTGTTATAGTAATTGATTATTGTTTTTTTTGTTTAAGAATTTAATTGGGAAGAGTATATATAGATTTAAAAACTATTTTTAGAAGGGGATACAGATATGGATGGTTTAATCAATAAGACATAATTAATTTAATTATTAGAAAAATATATAACTATAGAAAACATTAAGGATAAAATAGATAAATTGTTTTAAGAACTTGAATTGGAAGATGAAATTAATTCAAACTAATTTTTAGCTCTTTCAACATCAAGAAGAGATATTTTATCAACATCCAATATTGAGATTTCTTTTGAGATATTTTCTCTAAACACTCAAGAAATCACATTAAAAGGATTGAAAAAGTTTTTAAATGCTGATATTGATGAGATTGAGGTTGAGCTTTCTCGTCTAACTGAAAACTCAAATTCAGTATTATTTATTTTTATTCTAGTTAAATTATAAGCAATTCTCAAAAATTTTAGAATTGATGATTTGATGTAAGCTTTCAATAATTTAATAATAAAATTTATACAATCTTATATTATAAATATAATAAAAACAGTTGAATAGTGAATATATAAAGTTTCTTTAAATAGATATTCTATTTAAATTTTGTTTTGTTAAACTTAAATCAATTTTTATTGATTCTTATTTTAAGTTATATATCAATTATTATATTTTTCTTTATGTTTTGAGAGAGCCTGTTTTAGAAAGAAAAAACTCATTATAATTAAGAATTATTTATAATTAATGGAAATAAATAGAAACGATGTGATAAAGTTGATTTTATAATTTTTACAGGAAAATGGATTCAAAAAATCACAAGAAGAATTGTAAAAGGAAAGTGGAATATGTTTAAATTTAGTTGATTCGAAATAAAATCTTAAAAAAGATATAATAGATGGTAATGAATTATTTGAATAGTTTAGGAAAATGGGATTAAGTATTGAATTAAATTAAGTTATTCAATTTTACGGGTGACACATTATTAGATCTTTATGAATTAATAGTTTAAGAGTTAGTTGAAGTTAATGAGACACAAACAGCTAATTAATTTTTTCTTCAAATGATTGTTCCAAATTTGTAAGAATACAAAGAGAGACTTTTAAAATTAGATTATTTAATAAGAAAACCTGGTAAATTAAGTATTAATGAGATTTATAATGATACTTTGAGTAAAGAATAAAGAAGAAACAAGGTAGGTGATAAGGTGATTAATGAATGTATAGAAGCTCCTTCATGTAGATTATTGGAATTGATAGGTGATAGTTTAAGACATTTAAATGCTAATAAAATAATTACAAATAATAAATATGATTTATTTATGGGTTTAGGATAATAAGAACAAAAAGTGATACAAATTAGTAGAATAGAAAAGGTTGTTAAATATTCAGAGAAAATGAGAGTTAATTGTGCTACATTTACTCCTGATGGATAAAATCTTATTACAGGATCAATTGATGGTATAATAGAAGTATGGGATCCTAGTAAATATTCAGTTAGAAATGATATAGAATATTAAGTTAATGATCAATTTATGATGCATAATAATTGTATAATTAATTTAAGTGCAAATAATGAATTACTTGTTAGTTTGGATAATAATGGATAAGTAAAAGTTTGGAAATTAAAAACTGGTAAATGTTTAAAAATAATTGAAAGTACACATCCTAAATAAATTGCTAGTGTGTTATTAGGTAAGGATCCTTAATAAATTTACATTGCATCAGATTATATTTAATTATTTGCACTTAAAAGTGGAATCACTTAGAAATAATTTAGAGGACATAGTGGATTGATTTAATCTATGTTTTAGAGTTCAGAAGGTTCAAGATTATACAGTGGTGCTTTAGATTAATATTTTAAAGTTTGGGATACACATTCAGGAGAATAGATTTATAGTTTGAAATTTGAAACAGCTTTAGAAAAAATATATTATATTTAAGGTTCTATTTTGTTATGTCCTAGAGGAAAATAAATGATTTTATTGAATAGTAATTTTTAAGAGGTTAAAAGATATAATTCTGAATCTGAATTAATTAGTTGTGTAGCTTAAGGTGATTATGTTTATGGTTTAGGATAAGGATAATTATATAGTTATGAGATTAAATCAGGAATTGGATTGAAATTACTTAAATTGCCAAGTGAGAATATGTAAGATATATGCATAGGACGTAATGTAATATTTTGTTATTCACAGAATGGTCATTTAATATTTATACAATGAGTTTAAAATTAAAATATTTTTAATTAATATGTCAAATAATCAAAACAATAGTTCAAATCTTAAAAGTTAGTTGAAAGTATCATCATTATCATAAGAAAAAGAGGAGGCCTAAGAAACACTTGAAAGTATTTGAAGATAGTTATTGATAATAGTCATACATGAAATGTCTTAGATTTTAAATTGTGGATTGGATAGATAATAATTAGCTATTTTAGTTAGTATGATAGAAAATGGTGTTAATCCTGAAGCTTTGGCCTTAGTAGTGAATGAAATGAAATCTGAATTAAATACCTATAAAAAAATTCATAAATAATGAAGAAAATCAAAATAGTATTTGAGTCTTTGTTAATTTGTAAAAAAATTTTCATATTAAAAGAGATTTTAAATTTATTTATTTATTTTTTACTATGTTTATTAATATAAACTATTAAGTTTTAAATAATATATTACTTATAATAATTATAAGTAATCCTTTACTTTATATATAATTATATATGAATTATAACTATTTTATCATACTATAATATGAAATGGATTGTCAGTTAAACTATAACTTTAATATATTAAATAGCTTTTTAAAGAATTTTTTTTAAGTTATTGTTATTGAATAATGGTTAAGGATTAAAATGATACAAAACATTCAGTTTTATCAAATAAAATATTTCTTATTTAATGTTGTTTTCAAACTCAATCTATAATTAATTATATAAATGGGACCTTGTTAATCTTAATCTAAATTGAAATCAAGAAAAGATTTATAACAACCAACATTAATTCGAAAAACCGATCAAGTACTCACAAATAACAATCCTTCACTAATTCTTCCAAGTTTTTCTCCTAACCAGGAGCTTAATAGTGAGCCTTATGACGACACTAAAAAAAACTTGTCTTAACTAAAGGTTTATAGATCTTCATACAATCAGTTTTATAGTGAAATCACTTAAGGAAGCATGAAATGTATGTTTATATATTTATATAATAAAGTGTAGTTGAATTAGAAGTTGGTTCAGCATAATTTAACAGGTAAAATCAGAGTAGTTGAAGAATATGAAAGAAATTAATAAAATGAAGAGTTCATTAGTCAATTGAAGTTGTATTATTTGGTAATTGATAAAATATTATAGTTATATAGGATAATCCTAGAATTATAAGTGTATATGAATTGTTTATTGATGAATAATCATTTCATTTGATTTTAGATTATTGCAGTGGAGGCCAACTCTCCAATTATTATATTGATAAATCAATAATTCCATTTAATGAAATTGAAATAGCTTCAATCATTTATTAAGCAGCTGAATCACTAAGATATTTAGAATAGATAGGATTAACACATGGTTTCCTTAATTTAAATAGTTTTTCTAGAGTAGATATGTCACATAATTTTCAAATTAAACTTAGTGATATAAGAAGTCTATTTGTTAAACCAAACTTAAATAAATCAAATGTTTTCAGTCTTCCACCTGAAGCATGTATTACAAAAGATTAAAATGTATTTAATCATTCTAGAGATCTTTGGAGTTTAGGAGTGATGTCATATTAAATGATTTGTGGATATCCTCCATTTGAAGGAAATACTATAGAATCAGTAAAATCATAAATTAAAAAGATGGCTGCTTAATATAATAATTTTTAATTTGATAGAGTATCTAAATTATGTAGATAATTAATATAAAGAGTATTGGTACCTAATAAATAGAGAATTTCTCTTTAAGAATTTATGAATGATTAATGGTTCAAAATAAGAATTAAATAAAATGATTAAAATATCTTAAATAAACTTTAGTAAAATAAAGTTAAAATTTCAGAACTTTAACAATTATTTTTGATATTTATGATCAAAAATATATGTTCAAATGATTAATAATAACTTTATAATGAATTTGTTAATTTAGATGAAAATTAGGATGGACAATTAACTAAAGATGAGATTCTTAAAGTATATTCAAATCGATTTGATTCAAAAATAGATGCCAAATTATTTATTGAAAATATTTTTAAAATAGCTGATGTTGATAAAAGTGGTACAATAGATTTTGGAGAATTTTTGGTAGCAATAACTGATAAATCTGGATTATTAACTGAAGAAAATTTAAAGACAACATTTAAAATGGTTGCTTCTAGTAATGGAAAATTAACAACTTAAAAACTTAAATTTCATTTTAGTACATCTATTTTGAAATTAGATAAAATGTTTTTAGAAAATTTTACAAATCCATAAGTATTTTATAAATTAAATATATAGAATGTTGGATATTCGGAATTTGAAACAATGATGAAATAGTTATTGTGATTTTATTATATTTAAATATTCGAGTTGATTATATAATAAAATATATTTTATAAATATGAATAATTATCATAAAAACTAAAATTAATTAAGAAATTAGATACTTGAATATTAATATTAATAAAAATAGAATCAATGTTTGACAATTAAAAAATTACACCTTAGTTTATCAAATAATGTTTATAGACTACAGAAAATTACAAACAAACTGTATTAATCAAATAAGCTGTTTAAAATAATTAGGTACATCTATTTGAAACTATATGTATAACAATAACAGAGATACTAGCTTTGAATGATCAAAATCCACCATTTGCTAAATTATATGCTGTTAGAGTAAGTCTCTTAATTCTATCTTTTTAGTTAAGCAAAGAATTAATGGATATTTTTAATCTGACATTTGTATATTTATTTGAAAAACACACAATAGAATCATTTATTTATTATTCAGAATTTGGTGATCCAAATGATCAACAAAGAGGAAGAACAATATTTTAAATAGATTCAGGTATTCATAATCTATTTTTGCTTTAGACAAAACTATTAGATAAATTGGAATATCCCTTTCAAGATTTACTTCAGAATGTATTAATGCATGGGCTTTGTTTTTTCCTGAAACTCCATCTGGTGAACCAACTAAATTTATAAAATTATAACAAAATATGATAAATAAAGGATTTAAATTTGATACCTGGGATTATTATAAATAAGACTTTGTAAAAAAATATGAAAAAAAGTAAACAAATTAAAATGTTTAAACAGTTTAAATACCAAATGGTTAAAAAGGTATTATTTTAGAAAGATAAAAAATTTATATTTTAAGTTGTCAAAAGTTATTAGATTTAGTTGCAGATATATGTTTAAAAAATCAATAATGGGTTCCTGATTTATTTATAAGATATGAAAATGAAATTATAGCTAAAAATAATGATGTGGAAATATTAGTTAATTAACTAAAAAGTATAAATTAGGAAGATTTAGCAAAATAGATTATTGAATAAGCTGCTAAATTAAAATAATTAGAAAATGATTTAATTTCACTTAATAGGGCAACTTATATGGAATTTAGAAGGAAATATATTTAAGATCCTACAAAAGATGGAGAAAAATCAATTAAATATGTAGGGCCAGTTAAGACTCAAGTATTACATTAACCTTCAGTTGCTTTGAGTTCTGAAGAACAAATTTTATCGAATCAGTTCTTATAAACTTAAAAAATATCAATTTAAGAATAATCAAATGTAAATTTACAAAAAAACGATACAGTTTAATTGCAAAAACAATTAGAAGAAGAAAGAAATAATTGTCGCTATCTTTAAGGATAAAATGAAAAATTAGAATAAGAAAAAATGTAAATTTAGTAATAACTTACTATGATTCAATAAGAATTTAATAATTATAAAATAAACTCTGAAAAGTTGATAAAATAATCAAAAGATGAACATAATTTAGAGATAAATAATTATATTATAGAAAGATAAAAGCTATATTCAGAAAAATAAACCATGTTAAGTTAAATAGAATAATTAAATAAACAATAAATAAATGGAATAGAATAATAAAATAATGAATAGATAACGTAATTAAAAAGAGAGATTGAAAATTTGAAATAAAATTAGGAAATTAAAATTAACAATCTATCAATACAAATAGATGAATATCAATTAAAAATTAAAGAATAATAAACCAATCAAGAAAATTTGAATTTGTAATTAAATTTGTATAAGGCTTAATTGAAATAAAAATAAATAGAATATTAGATTCTAGAGGAAAAATAAAATAAGGAAAGTTTAATATTAAAATAATAAGTAATTGATACTCAGAAAAAAGTTAATGAAATTTAAATATAACTTGTTAAAAAAGACGAAGAGTTCAAATAATTAGATTCAATTTATTAAGCATTACGAAAAGAAAACTAATTAAAAAAAAAAAATTTGGAATCTTAATAATAAACAGATCGATTTCGCCAAAGTAATAATATTGATAATTAAAACAAAACTATATTAAAATAGTAGTAATTTGAAATTGATCATCAAAAGACAAATAATTTATTTACTGTAGAAGAAAATGAATTAAATTAAAATATACAACAAATTAACTAAGATCTAGATAATATTAATAAACCCAAGTATTAAATACTTCAACGCCCAATTTTCTTCAAGCATTTTCCTTAAAATCTAAAATTTTAAAATGATTAAGTGCCTTAAAGAAGAAGACCTATTACTAGTGAAAATTTAGATCTAATTTTCCCTTACTAAACTCCTTAAGAATATTATTAAAATAAAAAATAAAAATTAAGAAAAGGCAAAGAAATTAATTTCTTATAAGATTTTTATGACCTATCATATTTGAACCAAGAAAATTAAGTTTTCTTTAAATAGAGATGCTTAGGATCTTAAGGTATTCTATTTGTAAATTGTTGGATTGAGTTAGGTTTGTCCTATTAGACTTAAGTATCATAAAACAAAGCTTATTTTTCTTATGGGTTGTATATAAAATAAATATAAAAAGGAAAAAAAGATATAAAAGTTGATTATTTGGAAGTTGAAAGTAATCATTTTTTGTAATATTAGAATTCTAACAATTTTGGGCATCAAAATAGACATTTTCAAAATAATAAGTTTAAGATTCAAATGATTTAATAGAGATATTGGTAGAATCAAATGTATTTATTTAATAAGTTTTGACATTGATGATTTCTCTATCTGGAATAAATTCATTCTAAATTTCTATTCCAATTTACATATGCTAATAAATAATTTATTCAGATATCAAAATTGGTGATTTTAAAAATGGATGGAAAAAGAAGTACAATTCTATAATTAGAACATCTATGTTAAAGTTAAATAAACAAATAATGAAAGATATTAATAATTTCATGAAGTTAATACCAAAAATAATAATTATAAATCCAAATAAAATTCAAGATTTTGAAATTGGTTAATCTGCAATTAAATTGGGAGGCTAAGGAAAATTATAAGACACTGAATTCTTGATAAAAGTATAATTAGATATAAATTTTATTTTAAGTTTGAAATTTTGCCAACTGACATGATATACATTTATATATCATACAAATCTGACTTGAATACTAATTAAAAACAAAAACTTTAGTAGATATTAAAAGGATATGCATTAATATTTATAGAAAATAATTATGCATGAATATTAATATAATTATAAAAAATATTTCATACCTTAAAATAATTAAAATAAATAATATAAATTTATTATATATTTAAATAATCTTTCAAAATATTATGAGTATTTTATTAAATTAAAAAGTATTGTATTGTAATTTGCAAAATAATAAATTAAAACAGATATAATATAATATAAACAATCAATTAAAAATAGAATTAGGTAGAAGAGCATTAAAAAAATCTAACGGAAATTTAGATTTTCCATTTCTTGGAATGACTAATTTGTTAGGCTACCTTGCATTGATTTTAGAATTCCCTATTCTATTTTATTCAGCGAATTTTTTTTTCAAATCTTAAGTAGACAAACAAAGTAAATCTAAAATTCTTTCTTTAGTTTCTTAAGTTAAAATAGGGATTTCTTTATTTTTCTTATTTTATTTTGTTTCCAAAAAGAATTAACTATCTTCTTCTAGTTCTATAAAATTTTCAGTCTTTTTTTCAATTTTCTTTATACCACTAACAATTTTATCACCCAATATTGATTCAAATTTATCTCTTGGTTCTGTTGGAATTGATTATTTATGAAGACGAAATAAAATATCTTGAGATTCATCTTATTTAGTAATGGAATGTGTGGCAATTTCATTAGGTTCTGTTTTCATTTTAGTTAAGGGGGTAAAGTTTTTTCTTCTGTCAGTTCTTAACTTTATATTATTGATATGTTAACTCTTTTGTTTCTTTGTAGGTACAATTTTGGATGTCTAATCATCTGATTTAATTCTTCTGGTTGTTGGTAATTTGTAAACAGATAAATCGTTGATAATTTTATACTTTGATATAGATCCATCATGCAATGGAGAATTGAGAGTTGGAATACGTTTATTAGGATTTATACGATGTCTTCATAATTATAATAGAATTACAAATCTTTGAATTGAGTAGGAGAGTGTAATGGCTGAGCAATAATGGGAGTTTTCCTTCGAACTCCCTAACTGTTCGAAGGGGTATCCTCTTTATTGAGAAAGCTTATCTTATTTGTAGAATGACGAGATGAAAGATTAGGAGGTCTTATGAAATAGGGTTGCTGTTGTTTCATTTATTTTACAAATAAATAAATTATAATAATGAGATTTCTAATTGTAAATGGATTCAATGCATCTGCATCTAGTGCTAAAGTATTTGATTATTTTAGAAATAACATTTAGAATGTATATAATTATATTAGATTTAGATGATATCAAAATAAAGGGAAGTAGCTGATACTTAGTGTGAGTATCATTTTAGAGATCGGCATTCTTTAGATGATTTCCTTTATGAACCAGAAACAAGTTTAATTAGAATGGAATATGGATTGAAATTCAATTCTATAGATATTGTTTTCATAATAGCATCCCCTAATTCAAAACCTTGGAGTCCAAATATGAGGAAAGTATTAATATTAATTTACCTTATTAAGATAGTAACTTTGATTAGAATGTGTTTAAAGACAAAAAAGTTATTATTCTCCACTTCATTTGGTGCATAGGCAATAGCTTATCTTTGTTCAACTAATTTTTCAGTAGTAACTAATTTATTTTTGATCTAAAGCATGCTTCTATTACTAACAATCATGGAGAAGGATGTAAATTGGTGGATTTTCCAAAATATACATTATAAGCATTAAAAAATGGTCCTAATGAATATTTCTTGGATTCCACTACTGGAGATCTTTATTTTTATTGTAAAATAACAGATGAATGGTTACCAAAAGCTAATATTGGATTACATAATAGGAGAGATGCTATGGAGTATCAATCTATTGGTAAATACATTGTCAAATCACCAACTTATAAACCTAAATAGAATATGTTGGAAAATTAAAGTGAAATGATGTGTTAGATAAAAAAACAATTCTTACATCATTGGTTATTTAGAGAAGTAACAATGGAATTTGCAATAACTTCTTACAATTAATGGGATATTCATGCTATTACATTTACAAATCCAGATAAAGTATTTAATGAAATACTTATATTAGAAATTCAATTCATTAGCAGAGCATAATTTAAGAGGACCATTAATAATTGAGAGTGACAATATAATAGCAACAATGTTTGAATTGGAACCAAAATAGAAGGATACTGTAAAAATATTATCTAATTTTATTGATAATGCTGTTAAATTGATTAGATTCAATAATAATTATAATAATATTAGCATTACAAATGATAAGTACTTTTCAGGAAATAAAGGATTAGATAATATTGAGATTGTATTTTAATAGAAAAGAAAGATAGGTAATTTGAATCCTGAAGATTTGTTAAAAAAATAATAGAAAAATTTTATGCATGAATATAGGAAATTATTGAATACTGCCATTTAAGAAACTGAAAGAGATAAGATATTTCATGTTGGATTTTCAGTTAAAAAGGATAGATTACCAGAGTATTACTTTATTAATATAGTTTTGTATAGCAAAATAATATTTAAGAGAAGAATTATAAAGTAGTGAGACGAAAATCGTTTCAAATGAAAAAGGCTATATTCTTAAGATAATAGAGTTAGATTAATGTTGGTGGAGATGATGATTAATAAATGAGAGATTTATTAGATGAGGCTCCAAAAAAACCTTTACCATTCTAACGTGTTATATCAACTGCTAATAATAGTAAAAGATTAAACTCAAAAAAACATTCAAATCCAAAAACACCAAATACAATTGAAAAAGAAGACAATGAATTTCAAGATTTTGAAATCAAGGGAATAAATAATATCTCTGTTAGAAAAATGCTTCATCCTTCCTTAGATGATGAATTCTTAGGATCAAATAAGATATGGGTACCAGGATTCTTATCAAAGGATAAAAGTAAGAATAATCATATTGGTCAAAGTTAAAGAGGTTAACGCAATTAGAATAATAGATTTCACACTGATTCACTTGTCGGTTGATAAGAATAATTATTCAAATATAAATTATTTTATTTTTATGTAAAAATACGAAGTTCTTGGCATCATAGGCAAAGGTTCTTATGGTGTTGTACTCAAAGGATAAAATAAAGAAACAGGAGAAGTAGAGCAAATTAATAATTTAGATTGTAGCTATCAAATAATATATTGGTTCTGAAGAAGATGAAAGTGTTAAAAAAACAATCTTAAGGGAAGTTAAACTATTAAAAATGCTTAATCATGACTATATTGTTAAAATTAAAGAGGCCTTTAGAAGGTATTTATATTATAAAATTATTAATAGAAAAGGCAAACTTTATGTAGTATTAGAATATGTTGAAAAAAACTTATTAGAATTACTTGAAGAAAAACCGAATGGTTTAGATGTAAAATTTAATAATTATTATAGCCTGAATTAGCAAGACGATTTATTTACTAATTATGTTTAGCCATTGCATATTGTCATTCACTTGAAATTTTACATAGAGATATTAAACCTGAAAACCTTCTTGTTAGTGATCAATTTGTTTTGAAGGTTTGTGATTTTGGTTTTGCAAGACTAATTCCATAAAAATAAGGATAGTTAACTGATTATGTAGCAACTAGATGGTATAGAGCACCAGAATTACTATTGGGAGATGAATATGGTAAAGGGGTTGATATATGGGCTATTGGATGTATAATGGCTGAATTAACTGATGGGTAACCCTTATTTTAGGGTTAAACAGAAATGGATCAATTATATTTGATTTGTAAAGTTTAAATTAGTGTGATATTTCATAGTTACTAGGTCCTTTGACTAGTGAATAAAAAGAAGCTTTTCTTAAGAATCCTCGTTATGTTGGAATGAAATTTCATGAAATCACTAAACCAGACACAATTGAAAAAAAGTTTTAATCTAAACTTTCATTAAAAGCTATTTCATTTATTAAAGGATTATTGAAAATGGATCCTAATAAGAGAATGACTGCATTTGAGGCATTAGAACATCCATACTTTGATGGAATGAGAGATGATTAATATTATTAGTTTTTAAAAGAATTAAGAGATAAAGAATAAATACCAAAAGATAGAATACAATCTGCAAATAAAGTAGCTTTAAAATAAACACAATAAATTAATTAATAATAATAATAATAATAATAATAAGTATTATCATAATAAAAAGATAATTTAATAAGTAATAAAAGAATTGATAAATCAAATGAAAGGTATATATTTATAATATACTTATAGAAAAACATAATAAAAAGGAAATAATAATATATCTGTTGAAAGAGTAAATAATTTTGTTAAACCTGCACCTCTAAAAACAGGAGAGAAAAATATAGGAGATTTTAATGCTTAAGAATCTAAATCAATGCCTAAAAAAGATGTTAATTCATAATTAGGTTTTTTATAAAAGAATGTGATTATTGGATATTAAGAAGGATAATTCGATAACTTTTTATAAAATAAAATGGCTTAAAATTATAATTATGAAATACCTGAAAATGATTTAAATAATTCAATTGAAGGAGAGAAAAAGTCTATGAATCTTAGGGCTAGAGCAAAGAAAAAATCATTTAATCCTGATATTATTGAAGATGATTAAACAACAATCATTAAATTAAAAAGAAAAGATTAATAATAATAATTATTTTAATAATAAATTCCATCATATTAAGTTAAAAAGAAATCTACTTAATTAAAGTAAAACTTTTATCCTACTGATGAATATTCTGGAGATGAATAGGAAGTCTATTAATCAAAAGAACTTTTGAACATTTAAAAAGCATAAAAATAATAATTATAATATAATTACAATATTGGGGAATGTAGAAATACTTAAGAAGATTAGGATAAGAATTTAAACATTGTGTATAACAATATAACTTATAATTATAATATTAATAATTCTCCTGGGTGGATGAGCAAGAAAAGAAATTGATTATTTAAATTTTATATCATATCATCATTTATCTTATAAAACCACAATTTGATTATATTGTATAATTAAATAATAATAATAAATAAGAAAAATTAATATTCTAATTGCATATTTAGTATTTCAAAGAGCGTCAAACATTAGCTGTTAAAATTACTTAAAATTCATCTATAAATTATTAATTATTATTACTTGATTATTTTCATAAACAGAAAATTATTATTTCAACTATTATTTTTTATTGTGATATAAAGTACACATTTTAGATAATTAAATAAATCCTTCTATGTCAGACAGTATTTTAAATGTTTCTTTTAGATTATCTTCTGTAATTAAAGTCTCTTTATTTATAACTCCAATCAAAAATTCTTAGAAATCAATTTCTCCATTTTTATTTATATCAATCCCTTTAAAAACAGCATCTACATGTTCTTTAACTTCCTAAAGATTACTAAAATGTTTTATATAAGCAATTGTGAGATCTTATTTACTTATCTTACCATCATGATTAACATCAAATTAACCAAAAAGTTGATATAGGAATTATTCTTAATCAGCTGAAAAAGTGGATATCATGAATTATAAAAAACAACACTAAAGAAAAGTCAAAGAATGATTATCATTTAACTGTTTTACTATTAACTTCTATTCTTCATATTAAATTTCTATATTATGTTTTAGCCAATTATCATTTAAAACTTAATTCAAATTAATTCTTTTAGCAGGATCAAATTTGAAAAATCTTTTTAAAATATCCACAGATTCAGATGGTAAACATTTTTGTTTGAAATCTTCTGAAATTGAATAATCCCTTATTTCTTCAAATACTTCTTCTTTATTATTTCCTTTAAATGGAAATTCTCCAGTTAACATTTAATATAGTATTACTCCTATACTCCAAACATCTCTTTCTGGAGTGTAATCTTCAGGAAATTAGATAGCCTCAGGTGACATATATTAAAAAATTTCTTTTTCAGAAATATAGGATTTTAAGTAAATAGGTTTAAAATCAACTAATTTAATAAAATTTGAATTTGATTAATTACATTTCTGAAATGAAGTCAGTGTTAATCCCCCATGATTCACTCCATATTAATGAAGATGCTTCACAATTTCTATAATCTACTTCAAAATTAATGCAGATTACTATTGAGTGTAAACAGATTTATGTAGGTTTTAAGTTAATAGAGGTCCGTTGCAAAAATCATGAATTATTTAATAATTATTACTATCCTAAAATATTTCGAAAATTCTTATTAAATTAGGATGTTACTAAAAATATCATATATAATATATATACTAATTAAGTTTAGACTATGGACTCAATTAGTTAAATTCCTTATTAAGTTTTTTTGATCATTTCAGCAACCATTATTCTACCACTTAGATTATGTTAGACTACAACGATGTGATCTAACTATTTTATTCTATAATTGAATTAGTCTTTGTTTAACATAGTATAGTATTTTGAAAATTGGGTATTCTTTATTGAAACCCAAGTTTTGAGGGTTCCACGAAAGCCTGAATTTTCGACTATTTGATCAGCCCAAACCATATGCTTAACCTATCGAGTAGAAGGAGTTGCAGCAAACTTAGACAATACTTACTTTGGAGAAGAAGCAGTTGGTTTTATGCTTTTGATGCTTCTTTCAGATTTAACTAATCTTTAAATTTCTAATGATTAATCATTTTGATTTAACTATTTTGTTTGTTATTCTACATGTTCTTTGATGTTTACATTCTATTTTCGCTTAGCTGAACAGATTCCCATATTTAAAATAATATTTTATGTTTGATGTGATCAGTTTATTTAAGAAACTTGTATAAACTTAATTACTGTATAAATATTTGTATTAGAGTTATAAAGAGAATTTTGAGTACATTCTATTAGAATTTACAATTTACACTTTAAATGGTTCTTGGATATCAAATTAAATTAGTAATGAACATGTTAGAAATGAATATTAAAAATTTACTAAAATAAAAGTTAAGGGTCAAGGTATTTCATCATCTGTTTATGTTTATTTAAATGTCATTGAATTTGATTAGATTTCTAATGATACATACCTATTTATTTGTATGTATATGGTATTATAATAGGTGATATTTAATTAAATGAACATAGAAGAGTTAAAGGAAGCTATTAAAAGAATAGGGTAGTGTTAATAAGAGTAAGTAAAATCTAATAACATTAGGTCTTAATAGGATTTAGATATTGTGTTATAACAAATCTAACACCCTGTAGGATTGGATTTATTATTTCAATGTGCAAAGAACGTAATAGAATTCAGACAATACACAATGTTTTGGAAAGTAAGTATCATCTTATTATGAATAGTCTGCGAATAAAATCTTGATGAACATAGTGAAGTTGTGTTTAAATAATCAGGATTAATTGAAAGCCTGGGAGACATTGCGTCTAACCATAGATCCAGATAAACATTTCTATAAATGCCATGAGTTAGTATAGATGGATGAGGATCAGGTAATAGAATCCAAAAGATTTTTAGTTTTCGCATCAGGAATTCACTTAATAAGAGTTTTGTGCAAATCTATTGGATGGATAATATGTAGATGCATTATATGAGGATGAAAAGGGTAATGTGATTGGATGGTGTAGGGCAAATATTGTTAAGATTAATGAGAAATATGTTTGGGTCAAATGGCATGAAAATGAGGGAAAGAGAAAGATTGCTCGATATTCAATGGATTTGGCTCCATATAAAAGTCAAGTGACAGATGAAGAATGGAATTGGAGACATTCTCTTTCTGTTGGCGATATTATAGATTGTTTTGATAATCGTGTATGGTAGAATGCTACTATTATTACTGCATTAAATGAAGAAGATAAGGAGTATCTTGTTGGATTTAGAGTTTATGATGAAAAGGGCAATTAATATGATTAATAAAGTAGGAGATTCTTTGGTTGGAATCAATAATATGATGAAAGAATTAAAGCAGTGAGTCCAAGAATTTAGAAAAGAAATTTATTTTCAAGAGGACAACCATCTAATCCTCATTGTTAAGAGGAAATTATCCATGATTGTAATGATTTTCTCTATCCAAACACTGATTATGCAGTACCACGATTTTAAACTAAATAAGCTAGGAGATCTATTGTTATTTGTGAAATGATCAATGAATTTGGTCGAGCTGGATTATTTTAATACATATTAGATTAAATTCTTAATAGATGCACCATAGATTTCTTACATGCATATATGTTAGTATTGAATAATTTCCATGAAATGTTACATAGATAATTTGTTTAAACTTATGTTCCATAATTATTTGAAGCAGTTTAAAATAATATTTTATTATCAGCTGATAACAATCTTAGAAACTTTACATCATAAAAGATAACTGATATTTTATAAACATTAAGTAATTTATTGAAAAGAGTTTATGCATTACAAAAAAGATAGGAAATGATAGATAGATTAGATTTGGATATAGCTTATAAATGTTTTACAAGTGATTTTTTAGAAAGAAAGATTTAAGGTTTAAAAGCAATTTAAGAGTTAATAAAGAAGACAAAAGATTAATATAATCAATATGGAATGTAAGAATAGTAAAAACAGGCAACTACATAAATGATATTGGAATGGTTAAATGAGAAGAAGATTTTTGAGAGTCTTTATGTTGGGTCTGGAAATTCTCATTTAGTATAAAGAAGTGCAGAATTCTTTAAGTTTTTGATAGAGGAAAAAATGATTAGCTTAAATAATTTCAAAGATATATGGAATAATTTAGAAAAAGCTGAATATGAACATAAATTAGCTATATTTAAATTATTTAAAGATGTTTCAAACTCTTTAGAAAAGGAATGGTTAGATTTCTTGACTGATGCTGTATGTACTAAAGATCCAAAGGATATCACTAAGGATGATTTGGAATTATTACTTGATATAATTAAGATGAATTTTAGATATAAAGATGAGTATATCTAGAAATGTTGTAATTATTATTGGACAGTATTAAAAAGTGGATAATTGAATTAAACTATGTTGGAATAATATATATCATATTATATTGATTAAGTAACATAATATGAAATGAGACCACATAAAGGAGCCTAGATTAGTATGATTGGGGAAAGTATTGTGAAAGGAGAATAAGTTAATGTAGGTTTGAGAGTATTAATAAAATTGATAGAGAAATTAGACATTTAACCAGTAGCTTGGGAATAATATACAAGAAATGTGGCATTGACAGATTTGGAAAGTAAATTTAAAATAGTTGAAGAGATAATTAAATCTATTCCTGAATTGAAAAAGTAAAAAGATTATTTTGATGAAATCAAGATTAGAATGTAATTCATTTAATTCTTCTATTAAAACATAAATACTTATGAATATAGATTAACTTTTAATATAATTTCAAGTATATGGGAATAATTAGTTTGTTAATCATCTAGTCAACAAGAAAAAGATTTAGTGTATAAATGGTTTAGTGCATTATCAACTTAAGATGGACAATCACAATTAACATCTATGGTGGCTATATAAGATCTTAAATCATTTTTCAATGAGAAAATGACAAATGATCTTATTTAATTGACTGAAGAAGGATTTAATTGTTTTAAGACAGTTTTGACAGCAATAAATAAATAATAAGAAAATGGTTTTGGTCTTGATGTGTTATGGAAAATGATTTTAGAAACAGAAAATGAGAAAGTTTCTTTATCTGCAATAGATTATTATCTTTAATTTTAAAGTACATTAGATGTTTTATTCAATAAATTATAAGAAAATAGAAATAATGATCAGAAATTATATAGGTGTTTATTAGTATTAGAAGGATTTATAGATTAAAGTGAAGTGGATGGAGTAGGTAATTTAAAGAGTTTGAATGCTTTATCATAAGGAGAAGAATTGTAAATATAGGTTTCATATGAACATGGAAATTAAAAGAAATTTACTATAAAAATAAATGATAATTAAACTATTATTGAATTGAGATTAGCAATTAGTAAAGTTATTAAATAATAATGGGATTCAATT